CTTCCCTGTCAGGTGCCACCCCCAACCTCCGTACATCCCCTTCCTTGTTGGAGTAGAGATCCTCTCCTACAGGGCCAACACAGACACCCACAGAGTTCTTTTCCATGGGTGTTTGCCTCTGCTGCAGCTCTTCAGTTGTTTTCAATGCCCCTCTCAAGCAAAGCACCTATTGGTAGAGAGGAGGATCCAGTAAAGCTTAGCGAGCAGCCAGAGACCCTTTGCCCTTTCCAGCAGTGTGGGAAAGCAGCCATTGCTTGTGAACTTGAACATCATACACCAGATCTTAGGTCTCATTGGTCCTTTCAAAGAGAAGATTCCTGATCATCCATTTCAAGATTTGGCAGCATTAATCCCTAATTCAGACAGGCTCCTAAAACCAAGCTCCTCCCCCCTTTTAGTAATAATATGCTATTTCCCATACACACACACACACACACACACACCACACACACACCCTGATATTGGCACAGCCCCTAACAGACTTCCCTCTGTCTTCATAGTAGCATCTCCTTTGGACAAGGGAAACGGCTTCCAGGTCCATTCAGTGCAAAGCAAACTGCCGAGAGACCAGCCTAAGGATTCCAGTTGGTTCTCCTATTTGTCAGGAAAATCAAAGGCAAGGCAGGTTTTGGTTTTTGTGTCTGGTTTATCTAGGTAATGTAAGAAAAATACGTGTTTCTGAGGGTGCTCAGGGGCTAGCCTGCTCTAGGAACCATGTTAACACCTTAGCCTCAAACCAGACAGACAGTACCAGTCCTCTTGTGGAACCTGGAACCTCTTCTGGAACTCAGGGGTGCCTGAGCTGTGGAAGGCCATGGGGTGAAGGGAAACAGAACCCTGGCTTTTCCATGCTGCGGTCTCTGATGTGAGAAGATTTTGCCGGGTGTCTGCTTTCCCTGTAGGGGAGCTGGTAAAGTTCCTGGTGAAGGTACAGCCTTGACTTCAAACATTGCTCTGGCCTTTCCTACCTTCTCAGGTCTGGTTTTCTTCCCTAAGCAGTTCCCAGTTTCATACCTGAGCATTCCCTAACTATAGAGTCTAACTTTGATCACAGTTGCTAGATCTATAATCATGTTTCCCTTTATAGACCTCCAGTGGGCAGAGCCTAGCCAAGTGACTACTTCAAATGAGCATGGAAATCCTTCCTCAGGAACTATCTTGCAGAGGCAGGATGGTCTACAATAGAGTCTGTCATGGCTTGTGTGCACACCTTGTTTTCAGTCAGAAAGCAGGATAAATCGGGCGGTAGTGGTGCACACCTTTAATCCCAGCATACAGGAAGCAGAGGCAGGTGGATCTCTGAGTTCGAGGCCAGCCTGGTCTACAGAGCAAGTTCTAAGACAGCCATGGCTACACAAAAGAAGCTCTGTCTCAAAAAACCAACAGCAACAAAAAAAAAGATAACAAAAAGAAAACAGGATAAGCATCCTGGCCTCTTCACCTTGCACACCTGGCTTGTCTCCACATGAATTATGACTGTTTCAAAAAGTAGAATGCATTATATTTTTTGGAAGTTGTAGCACTATTGAAGTAATAGTGAGAAGAAGAAAATAGTGCTGTTCAGACATGGTGATCTGACACCATGGTTCTCCACAGACCTTCTGAAGAACAGTATGTCTCTGGCTGATAAGCCCTGCTGTGATGGTTCAGTGTTCAGCTACAGATGACCTGTGTGCCCCACACCCACCGACCTTCTTTCTCACTGCACTTTGCCTTCCCACTCCTCCCACTGATGGAGTAACAGCTGCTTTGCCTTGTCAAGACCCTCCCTCTGCACCCATTCTTCTCTTGCTGGCCTTCGTAGTAGGAGCCAGAGCTTTCCTCATTCCAAGCTTCTGTTCTCCAAACTCTTCAGTAGTGACTCTGATCTGAATGATCTGAATGGTGGGACCTGAGAGGGGGCAGTCTGTTTAGGACCATCACCATTAGGCATTCAGAGCTAGTGATGGGTCTAACTGAATGGATTACATGCTGCCCCAGGCCAGCCTGTGTAGTAGAAAATGAACTCCAGACCCTTCTGCCTCTACCTCCCAAATGCTGGGATCATAGCGATTTAGCCACAATAATATTAGCATGAAGGAAAAATAGCCTCTGCTTTTACAGAGCTAACAGTTCTGGGAAATCATTTGGACAGATGTCAAACAATGACAGTAGTTTGCTGAATTTGGAAGGGTATCACAGAAATCCTAAAAGGAAATGAATCTGTGTGCACTCTTAAAACTTCTCCCTGAGGACAGTGGATACTGAGGAACTTGATAATGGAGACTTGAGTGGAAACAAGTACTTCAGATCTGAGGAGAGGTAGTAGATGCAAATATGAGCTTGGCTTGAGGGTGATGTTGAAGTGGCTCGGATGATTAGCATGAGAACAGTTGCTGGGATCTCCTGGAAATAGACCATTTTTTGTGGAATATTAGTGAATGTGGGTTACATGACCTAGTCATGTGAGGTAGAATAAGCATTGAGGTTTTGTAGGCTTTTAAATAAGCAGGTGAAATACATAGTAAAAGCAAGATATGATCTGGTTGCAGTGTGAAGATCAGAGGTGTGAATCCAGGCTGCTACAGGTGAGCCAGTGTGACCTCACCCAGGTTGATGGCTCAGGCCAAAAAGGAAGATGCTTGTGAGAGGTACCTCAGAGGAAGAGGCAGTGTAAACTCCTCTAACAGCCTGAGAGTGGGTGATGAGAACAGCCAGGGATGATCCAGAAGTTCCGCCCAGCATATGAGGACTGTGGTATTGCTGGGAAGAAAAAGGAAGAGAGGGGCAAGGAGCGAGGTTAAGGAGGTGAAACTGAGGTTGGTATGCACGTTTCTGACTTGGAGGTGGACAAGTCACCCATGTGAAGATGTCTTGGAAGCTTCTGAAGGATAGGGTTCCAAAAGAAGATGGTACCAGCCCTGATGCTGCCATCTTGGGCATTTTGTTGTGGTAAGAATGGGTTTGCTATTCAAAGCAGCACAGAAAAACAGTGGTCAGCCCGGAGCTGTGAGTCTTAGGAGTAGGTCAGATTATTTTCTGTAATAATTTGGGTTTCCTGTATCTTTTTATTTATGTATGTAGAGACAGTGCTCAGTGGTCTGTGCAGCAGAGACCAGCCTTGAATTTCAACTTGAGATTCTTTTGTCACAGGTACTGAGGTACCTAGAGTTAGAAACATATATCATTGTCCTTGGGTTACCTATGCATTTTAAAGCTCAATAGCCACCTCCCATTCACATGAAAGAGTTCTGGTCCTACTAGGTGAATATCCCAAAGCTGTGTTCACACTGCTTTCTCTTCAGAAATGGGGACGTTGTAGAGGCATTCCCGGGGATGACACACAAGATTGTCCTTTGGCTTCCACATTCACATACATAAAAACTTGACATACACAAATAAAGATTTATTTTTATTTTTATTTTTTGAGACAGGGTCTTACCATGTAACTCTGAATGGACTATATAACTCTATGTAGACCATGCTGGCCTTGAACTCACAGATAATAGAGATCTACCTGCTTCTCCCTCCCAGGTGCTAGGATTACAAGCATGTGCAATCATACCTTTGTATTTTACTATTTTATGTATGGGGGTGTTTTGCTGTGTGTCTGTGTACCATGTGCATGCAGTTCTCACAGAGGCCAAAAGAGGGCATTGGATCCTCTGGGACTAGAGTTAGAGATGGTTGGAACTTCCTGTGGGTGCTGAGACTCAAATCCAGGTCCTCTAGAAGAACAGCCCATGCTCTAAAGTGCTGAACTACCTTTTCAGTCCCTGTGAAAGTTGTTGGTTTTTTGTTTTGTTTTGTTTTGTTTTTTTAAGTGAGAGGGAACCCTTCATTCCATTATTCTGCTTGGATTAGCCTATGAAACAGCTGAGGAGCTGGATATGTTGTCACAGCTTAGATGGCCAACACTTGGGAGGCTGGGGCAGGAGGGTTGTGGATTGAACCAACCTGCTCAATTTAGCTAGATCCTGCCTCCAAAAAAACCTTATTTTTGGTGATGCTGACGTTCAGCTGCTAAAGTAGCAGCACTGGAAAGGAACAGCCTCTGTTCAGGCTGGCTTGCCATTATGAGGCAACTCAGTAAGATGGGGGCAGGGAAGGGGTGGGGCAAGAGCAGCAGCCCACATACAGTAAGGAGTCTGCCATCAAAGGCAACAAGTCTCATTCACTGCCCCGGATGCTGACCCTTCCCTGTGGAATTCTCCCCTCTGACCTCCAGATCATTAATCCCGAGCTGCCAAATGACAGTCATCCATCACGCCTCCTGACCAGCAACCCAGCCTCCTGTGAAAAGACCTGGGCCCCTCCCTCCCTCTTGTCCCTCGGTGCTCATTAGAAGCCCTTCCTGCCCAGTGCCAGGTTTCCTAATCAAGTCCCTGGCTCCTCTCACTTCCCCTCTGGGCCAGTGGGCGGAAGCTGCTCTGACCCTCCCTCTTTCAGAGGCCAGGGAGGGGTGGGGTGATTAGTGAGTGGGGAAAGAATTGTTGAGTGGCTTTTTATTCCCTTGGAGACCTTTATGTCCAGTAGCTACTTTGACTGGACTAGTCATAAGAGAAAAAGAAAACATGTCTCTCCATCCTGTCTCCGGAGAGAAGACAGGCAGTGTGCAGAGGAGTCTGTTCAGCTGCTCACAGCACCAGCCGGGCTTTAGGCAGGTGGATCCCAGCCAGGCCCTGAGCAGAAATTGATTCCAGAGGCTCCAGGAGTGAAAATTGCCAAAGTATTAAAAATTATCTGAGATTATACTTCTGATAACAAAACTCTCTCTGTGTTCATCTGGATCAGAAAAGCTAAAGGACTCACTTCAGGCCACAAACCCCGAGTTGGGCCTGTCCTGCTTATTCTAGAGAGAATGGATACTGAGTCTGTCAGGTCTACGGTGTTTGAGTCAGACCATACTTAGGAGATTCACAAGCAATGTGTCCAGCCTGCTCATGGTGAGTGTGCACAAATTTCATGTCTTTCTGCTCAGCTTGACTGACACAGGCTTCTCTCTTGTTGAACAATCACAGGCACCCCTATCAACCGGATTCCCATCATGGCCAAGCAGATCCTGGACCTGTATATGCTGTATAAACTAGTCACAGAGAAGGGGGGCTTGGTGGAGATCATCAACAAAAAAATCTGGAGAGAGATCACCAAAGGCCTGAACCTGCCCACATCCATCACCAGTGCTGCCTTCACCCTCCGGACGCAGTGAGTGGCCAGGGCGAGAAGGAAGCTGAGCACAGGCCAGGGTCAGACTGCTGAGACAGTGAGGAGCCTTTCAGATGAGTTCCTTGGACCTAAAAGGCCGCCCTCACCATGGCTCCCTAATGTTCTGTGTGATTTAAACGTCACAGTCTCTCCTGGCAAGTAGATACCATTTTGCAGATTATAAAATCTAAGCCCTAGGCTAATTACTTTAGTCAACGCCATACTGATCCAATAGGCCTGAAATTCAGCCTGGGCTTGTCCCTACATTCTACACTCTTTCCTGAATATGACTACCCAGGTGATCCCCTTTACCCTGTATTCAGCCTCAGGTTAGTCCAGCCTCATGGGTTGCTGACCTGTTTTTGCCACTCTTTGACTAGTTACAAGGGTTGACAGAAACAGTAAGTCAGAGAGTACCCATATAGAACAGAAGCCAAAGTGTCAGGTAGGATGCCCTTGCCTTGTTGAAAGATAGTAAGGCTTTGGGGGCCAAAGAGATGGCTCAGTGATAGATGTTTGCTGCCAAGCCTGACTACCTGTGTTCAATCCCTAAGACTAGCATGGTACAAGAGGACTTGTGCAAGTGTCCTCTGGCCTCTGTTAGCAGCGCTATGGCATGCAAGTGCTAATGCACATAACACATACACAAAATCAGTAAATGCAAAAAGAAAGTGTTTGTCCACCAGGGCTGTTCTAGTAGAAAGAGACATCCCTGTAACTGGGATGTCAGGGTTTTGGAGGAAAGAATGACTCCTTGGAACAGGTGACACACAAAGAAGGGCTGCCCTCCTGGGTCCGAGACCGGGGGGGGGGGTACTTCCTGTTTGACCAGTCTAACTGAATCAGGGGGAGCAAAGAAGGCACTATGAAACTCAGGCCTCATTTCCCTAAGGACATTCCAAAGGTATGGGACCAGAGGGAATATTATGTTAGCTAAGGCCCCAAGGCTCCCTTTATGACTGATGCTTCAGAGTCAAGCAATGTGTGTGCCTGGGTAATGCTAGAGAAGCCTGGAGGAATGTGTCCAATGAACCAGACTCTTCATTTCTGTTGTATGTACCCTACCACACCCTAACTCTTGACTGACCAAAGCTGCTTCCAACGACACATCAACTTAAACTGGACAGCCCCTGGTACTGTTTTATTATTCTTCCTTCCTTCCCTACAGGTACATGAAGTATCTATATGCCTATGAGTGTGAGAAGAAAGCCTTGAGCTCTCCAGCTGAGTTACAGGCAGCTATCGATGGCAACCGTAGGGAAGGTCGGAGGCCCAGCTATAGCTCCTCCCTCTTTGGCTATTCTCCTGCAGCCGCTGCTGCTGCTGCTGCCGCCGCCGCTGCTAACGCTGCCTCCGCAGGGGCTCCTGCCCTTCTCTCACCCCCCAAGATCCGCTTTTCCATCCTTGGGCTTGGCTCCAGCAGTGGCACCAATGCCAGCGGCCCTCGGATACCCGCAGCATCTGCTCTCAGGAAAGGTGAGCAGAGCCTGTGGAGGAGGGAAGAGACAGGGAAAAGGAGCCCAGGTTCCCTTTGCCCAGGGTGGGCATTGTGGAGAAGGTGTAAGTCTTGGATTGCTCTAGCTCTGCTTTCTTCATAGGTGATGGAGTCCCAGTGACAACAGTGCCTGTGCCAAATCGCCTGGCTGTGCCTGGGACTTTGGCGGGCCAGCAGACTAGCAACCGGACTGGCACACTGGAGCAGCTACGGGAGCGTCTAGAATCAGGGGAACCCCCTGAGAAAAAGGCATCAAGATTGTCAGAAGAGGAGCAGCGCCTGGTGCAGCAGGCCTTCCAGCGCAACCTCCTGAGCATGGCGCGGCAGCTCCCCATGAAGATCAGAATCAACGGCAGGGGTGAGCATCGCTGTATACCCACCTTTCCCTCATAATGCCTGAGGGTGTGCGGTGCTGGGTACATTTTGACTCCCTGGCCTAGGAAACATCCTCTCCAGCCATCCTTTTCATTGCCCTAGAGGAGTCTAGAGCCAGAAGAGAGCTGCTGGCAGTGTCTGCTTGCTGAGATCTCACCACCTTAATGGTTTCTAGGTCAGAAGTTGCTTCAGGCACTGAAGTCCTTGTTCTCTAACAAGAAGGAAAGTGGTCATTCAAAGAGGAGACAGGCTGTGCCCCAACCCCCTAGCCTTTTGATCTGTCTAAATTATAGGGTTTTGTATCCACCCCAGTACCTTACCGCATATGGTCAGGTCTGTCATTTCTGAGATACAGTGGAGCCATCGGTGGCCTCAGGAAGAAGTACATAATACAAGTTTATCAGTACATTTGACATTTTTTTTTTCTCCTTCCCCCTCCTCATTTTTCTTGTTTCCTACCTTTTTTTCTCAAAATACACATTCCATTCCCCTCATTCTTCTCCCTGCACTCCCCTTGAAGCCCCCTTTCTATGTCTTTGTTGCTGTGGCTCTCTGTAAAGCAAATGGGCAGTTGTTGCTGGGAGGGGAGGCAATGTGAAAGGAGCCCTTCAGAGCCCCAGGCAGCCCTCCCTTGGATGAGGGAACCATTTAGAGGCCAATGGAAAAGGCATCTCACATGGCATGTTTGACTCTGCAGAGGGAGAAGGGGGAAGTCAGTGAGCCAGGCAGAAGCCCCATGTACCTGCCTTTCCTTGGGGCAGGAGGACTAGGTGCCGGAGATCCTCATAGTTCAGGTGTGCCAGGGCTTATTTCCTGGGCTGATCTACAGTGGGTACTCAGTTAAGGTCAATCTGCTGTCCCTTCACTCTGAGAGGGAAGTGAATTGGCAGGAAGCTGGTTAGCCTGGCTGGGCTGCCAGACCTTTGACCAGAGGTAGTAGAGATAGTGTTACAACACCGGTCAGCGTGACTAAGCAGCACCAGATGACAGCAGAAAGCTTAGGCAGGCCTGCTTTCTCTGATCCCACAGAAGACAGAGCGGAGACTTCAGCTGCAGCGCTGAACCTGACCACGAGCAACATTGGGAGCATCAATATGTCTGTGGATATTGATGGCATCACCTATACAGGTAGGCCCCTGGAGCTGGGGAAGGCCCATGCTGACTGCCTGCTGCAGTGCAGCTTCCCAGCTGGCCCTGCCTGGCTCCGTCAGACATGTTGGGATGGGGAGGTGAGGGTGGGGTGGGGTGTCCTTTTACACTGCTCAGCATTCCTAAGATGAAGAGGCCCTGGACTGTACGTGCACATATTGACAGTATAGCCAGTCTTCTGCAGTGACAAGAACCTGTCCAGGCAGTGGCCGCTGAGTGGAAGATGTGATTTATATGAAGATTTTTGCCTTACACATTTCAGTATACATATGAGCTAGGTCACCATCTACCATGCACAGTGTTCCGGAGAACAAGACTTCTTTCCCTGACTGCAGAGGACTCTTTAAATGGTCTATCCATGTCTTTTGGAGGAGGGAGGTGGTGTTTGAGACACCATACAGGGTTTCTCTGTATAGCTTCTGGTTCTTCTGGAACTCACTCTATAGCTAACCTTGAACTCAGAGATCCTCCTGCCTCTGCCACCTGAGTGCTAGGATCAAAGGTTTGTGCCACCGTGCCAAGCTCCATGTCTTTTCTAAAAAGTATTTTGTGTGCCTGAGTGGTTTTTTTTTTTTTATTTAATTTAATTTAATTTATTTTATTTTATTTTATTTTATGTGCATTAGTGTGAAGGTGTCAGATCTCTTGGAATTGGCATTATAGACAGTTGTGAGCTGCCATGTGGAATTGAACCCGGGTCCTTTGGAAGAGCAGACAGTGTTCTTAACCACTGAGCCATCTCTCCAGCTCCATGCATGAGTGTTTTATCTGTCTGCATGTATATCTGTACATTGTGTGGGTGCTGGGAATCCAACCCAAGTCCTCTGGGAGAGCAGTCACTGCTTTTAACTGCTGACCCATCACTCCAAACCCATCCCCTCGCTTTTTTAAATGAACCAAGGACTACGACACCAGTATAACTAGGTGTGGTAGCACCTATCCACAGCCTCAGCACTCAGGAGGCTAAGGCAGCCATGTCATGAGTTCAAGGCCAAACTGTACTACAGAATGAGACCCTATCAAAAATAAAATATACCAGCAGTGAATCTCAGTGCTGCAGAAGCAGCCTTGACCCCTGCGACATTGCCATTTTTCAGTTGCATCTCCCTAATGTAATTGCCTGCAGTATGGTGGGTAGTTGGGTTTGCATCGGTAATGAACAGATCTTTCAAAGGTGATGAACACAGAGTTCACATAGGCAACAGACCCCAATACTGAATCCCTGGCTGTTCCATGTGTTTAGGGACAGGCTTGGGGACAAGCTCTGCTGGGTCTTGTTAAAAGCACCATTTGATGAGCAGGCGCTCAGGCTAGCAACATTCGCCTGTTTCACCAAGGCATGAGGTACGCCAGCTGCCTGGTGAGCGTCCACGTGCAGGCCAGGAAAACCTTGCATCCAAACCAGGGTATTTCCCTAGTGACAACAGCTCCCAGCCACCTGCAGGGCCACCTGCCACAAGCACCAGAGTCCAGCCAGGGAGGGGATAGGTTCCTAGAAGCAGCCATGCCAGTGTGGCTTGCAAGTCTCTTCTATCCCCTTGGTGTCACTCATGTGGCTTGGGATATTTGGGGCTGAGTTGAGTCCTAAAGTGAATAGGAACTAGGAGTTATGGCTGGAATTCAGCATTTTGTCATTTTGCTAGGAGGAAGGTAACTTTTCTCCTTTGCTCTCCAAGGGTCAGGAGTTGAGGCTTCTAGCACTCTAAAAATGGGCCACTCGCCTGCCTTGACCCTGTCTGCCCCAGGCTTTCTCTGTTGGGATGTGGTGCCTAAGGTAGTTCTGAGGTTCAAGGCCACATCCATCATTAGCTCCCTTCTGCTTGCTGCTTCTCACACCTCTGTTTGCTGCCATGGCTAGGCCTGCTCCTTTGCAGGCCTCCGCTGACCTCCCAGAGATTCCAAATGTCCCAGGGTCCTTCTCCTGCTGAGAACTTTGAGAGCCTCCAAATGGGTTCCTAGAGCTATATAAGGCCCCACCCACCTCCTTAGCCCCTCTGCTGTTGCCTAAACCATTTACACCAACACCAGCTCCAGTGGGTTAGCCTGGCTTGCTACTGTGTCTCGTGTTCTCTGGCCGCCATCTCTTCAGTTTGCTGCTTTTCTCTTTCAAGCACACTTTGCACTCAAACCTTTTCTTGGCTGCACTTCTGCTCCTCTCTCCAGAACCTTACAATGTCCCCAACAGCTACACCAGTCCCAGAACATTTGTCATTCTAGTAGAGGTACTGTTTGCATGCGTGTCCTTCAGCAGTTTCTGAGCCTTTGTTGGCAGGACAAATGTCTGGGCTTCCACTGGCACCTGGCATGGTAGAAGAGTGAACCACACAGGATTAAGCCAGCACTTATGCCTTGTTTAATTGAACTGAGCTACAGTCTCTCTTCATCAGCCCATACTGCTTCTCCTCCCACCCCAGGTGTGCTGTTTGCCCAGAAACCAGTGGTCCACCTCATTGCAGGCTCTGCTCCCCAGAGCATTGGCAGCAGCGCCAGCAGCAGCAGCAGCAGCTCTCACTGCTCACCAAGTCCTACCTCATCCCGGGGCACCCCCAGTGCAGAGCCCTCCACCAGCTGGTCCCTCTGATGAGCAGCACCCGGCACCCACTCCCTACTTTCCTGCTGAGAGTAAAGGAGATCGATGCACAGAATTTACCTCATCTCATGGAGCCCACATCAGACACCATCTGGCCAGATGTTGAATTTGGAAGTGTCCATCTGTCCAGGCTCCGTTCAGGTTCTGCTGTACTCTGGGGACAGGGAGAGACTGGGGCCCAGGACAGAGCAGCGTTGCCCAATCAGGGATTGTCCTGGAGAACTGGGTGGGGCACCTGGGCATCCAGCTTCCCCAGGGTTCCCCAACCACCTCCCATCCTTGGAGCAGTATATTGACAATCTGTCAGGCGACATGGGGCTGGAGGCTTCCTATTTCCCTTCCCCCTTAATTTATTTCCCTTCTGCTGCCTTCTGCCTTCACCCCAGGATCACCAAACTCTTAGTCTGTCCAGTCCCCCAGTGTTTAAATCCCATGTGGGGCTCTAGGAGTCAGGGACTTGTCTTCCTTGCTCTTGTCTGCTGAGCATGGGATAGGGATGGGCCTTCCTAGGCCTCCTTGCTTACTGATTGATCTTCTGGGCATGGGTCTCCCAAATCCAAGTCTTAAATTCAGTCCTCAGGGCCCTGGAATACCCCTTTTGTTGCTCCTAAGAAAAAAGCATGTTAGGGCAGGCTTCAGGTTCAGGGCCTCTCTGCACATGAAAAGGAGGAAGAGCTCCTGGTGCCCGGGCCCTGGTACCTACCTGACAAGACTCTGTTCTGATCCCCAGACCTCAGCTCCCTGCCTGCCCATGTTGGCCAGCTTACCCAAGATACCACTTGTCCCTGGCCCCTACTGTCGTCTCTTGGGGCAATTTCAGCCCCACCAGCCCAAGACATGCTGATGTCAGGCTTACTGAAATACCTCAGATTTGTAATTGTTGATATTTGATTCTTCAGGAAGTATTTGCATTTCTGTAATCTTTTTTTATATGTGTTTTGCTGACTTTAATTTTTTAATTTTTATTGTTGTTGCTGTTGTAGCACCAAAGAAATGAAAGCAGATCACCCCAGCCAGGTGCAGTTTGCAGCCAGCCTCCCTCCACCCTGCCCATGCCTGGCCAGGAGGTGTAGCAGGTGGGGTGACTCAGGGATCGCCACAGCAGGAGTATGGGATGGAGGGGCCCATGCTTGCTGGTGGACCCTAAAACCACACTGGTTCTTTGTGTCCCTACCCCAGCTGACAGAGCAGGGCATAGTATCATTTTGCTCTCAGGGCCCTCACCTTGGGACAAAGGCAAGTGGCTGTGGGCCCTGCCTGAGGCTGAGCCCCAGGTAGGATCTCTTGTTGACATGCAGCGGGAACAGGCCACTGTGGCAGAGAAAGTCCTTACGCAGGGCTCCATTCTCAACCCGGCGTGCTCTACTCTGTTACATAAAGCATCTCCCACACCCAGCATGATTACTCAGGTTTTGGTGGTGGAGACCACGGCATGGCCCGGCAGCCCTGTCTAGGACAAGAAAGGGAAACCAGAAGCGTGTGCGCAAACATACCTCAGCCTGGCAGACACTGCACTTCCAGCTCTTCTCCCTGCCCCAGGACACACATCCTCAGTAACTCACACCTGCTGACGACGCACCCACAGCTCTCATGCTGGGGTCTGACCCTCTTCTGGTCTCAGAAGCCTTATCCACCAGGCACATGCAGGGTTGGGCAAAGAACATCTGGGGTCTGGTGCTGTGAGAATCCCATTTGGCCAGCGTGTCTCAGGACGTAGTCATGAAGGATAGACCCTTCCTACCCAGGGAAGACAGGGACAGTGCAGGTCTTTCTGGTCATCGAATACTCTTTCTCTTGCTCCAGGCAGCTTGTCCACTTGTCCCTCTCAGTACCCCTCACTGCCCTCAAGCCAGCAGCAGGCTCTAGCCAGAAAATGCAAGACCTGGTACCCAGCGTTAGGGCTCTGTCTCAAGTGGAGCTTCCCCCGCAGGCATAGTCCTGAAGGTCATGTGACAGGCAGTTGGCCAGGACAGCATCCTCCCTTTCCATGTCTTGTATGTATTCTAACCAGAAAAAAAAATGTGATAGCACATGGTAGCCTAGGCCGTGAATAAATACCTCAGATGTCCTCTCGCAGCAAGTGTCTGTATATGTTGTGGTTCTTTTCTGTCTTACATGTTCTTGAATGTTTATATTTCAATAAAGCTCTACCTCTTCACATGAACAGCTCTGGGTTTCTTTCACCGACTTGAACTTGACAAGGTCCTCAGAGTGAAAAGGTACTTCATGAACTGTGCCTCAGGTCCCCAGCTCTTCCTGAACCTTCTCCCTTCACTGTCTGCTTCTGCAAAGGGCTGGACCTCCATGTCTCAGCTGTGCTGTCAGAATCTCCTGACATTACCAGTCACCAAAGCTGACAGCAGTGCTATGCTCGTATTTGGCAGGCAGGGTCCACCCCGTGACATAGCACACCCTTGCTGAGCCCTCACTGGGTCTGGCTCTGAAAAGAAGGTATGTGTGCCTTGGAAGGGCTTCGGGCTGAGGGACTTGTGTGTCCTCTGCATTTTAGAGAACGTGTTCTAACCAGGGTACAGACTTAGACAGGTGATCCAGAATAAGATGTCAGGCTGCCCATAGGTCTTCTCAGCCAGGGTTCTCCCCTATAGCACAGTAGGAGGAAATGTGCAGGGCAGGACCACACAGCTCGCCTGTCTGCAGGTCAACCGTAGCGCTTCTCTAGCCAGTGTGGTGCTCCCATGCACTTTAACTGTGCACAAGGATCTTGAGATTCAAGCCACCGTGAGATCCCGTCCCTCAAAAAGGAAAAAAGCACCAGCAAGGTGGCTTGGCCAGTAAAGGCGCTTGCTACCACGCCTGATGCCCTGAGTTACATCTCTGGAGAAAACTGACTGCCACAACTTGTCTTGACCTCCATAGACAGTAAAATGTCTAGGAGGGGAGAGGGAGCCTGACGTAGTGGTACACCCCTGTAGTGCCAGCGCCTGTCCCACCAGCTGACAGTTTGATCTGGCAAGAGAGCACCACTCCAGAGTTGTCCTCTGACCTTCATACCTGTGCTGTGGTACATCCACAACGCATCATAGGAAAGCTTCCTCGACAGGGTTTCTCTGTAACTTCAGTTGCAGCACTCGAGACCAAGCTGGCCTCACTCAGAGATCCACCTGTCTCTGCTCCCCAGTGCTGGGATTAAAGGGTGCCACCACTGCCTGACCAATTTTTTAAAAATATTTAAGGAAGATGGATCAGTCTGACCATAGTAGCATACTTTTAATTCCAGCACTCAAGAAATAGAGTACAGCCAGGCAGTGGTGGCGCACACTTTTAATCCCAGCACTTGGGAGGCAGAGGCAGGTGGATCTCTGAGTTTGAGGCCAGCCTGGTCTACAAAGAGAGTCTAGGACAGCCAAGGCTACACAGAAAAATGCTGGTTGTGGGGGAAGGGGGAGCAGAGCCCAGCCTGGTCCAGACAGAGTGAGTTCCAGGCTTGCTAGGATTATAATGGTCAGGACATATATGAGAACAGTAACAAGAAGGATATATAAAATCATCTTTTGCTACAGTATTAGTGTGATAACTATTCTTGGTTGTCAGCTTGCCTCTCTGGAATGAACTACAATCCAGATATGGAGGGCACACCTGTGAGAGATTTATTGCTTGGGTGAGGTAGGTGAATCCACCTCTAGTCCAGACCTTTAAGGTAGGAAGATATACCTTTAATCTGGGCCACACCTGCTGGAAGCCTATATAAGGACATGAAAGAAGGAAGATTTTGTTCCTTGTCTGCTGGCCCTCTCCTTGCTAGCATGTCCCTTCCTTCATTGGCATTAGAACCTGTTTCTTCGAGATTTCAGCATATACAGAAGACTAGCTGAGACCCACAGCCATGTGGGACTGAGCAGCTGCTAGATTCTTGGACTTGTCCTTACAGCCAGCCATCATTGGATTAGCTGGACTGTAGCCTGTAAGTCATTGCAGTAAATTCCCGGTATATGGAGAGAGAAAGATTTATTCCCTAAGGTCTTTGACTCTAGAGAATCCTGACTAATAATACAATTAGGTTCTCTAAAGGAACAAAACTGATAGAATGGGTGAATATATATGTATCTATTAATATATACGTATATGTATATATATTTCACATATATATGAAAGTTACTTAGAGTGATTGACAGGCTGTGATCTGAGTAGTCCAGTGGTTCTCAACCTGTGGTTGTGAACCCTTTGGGGGGGAGGGGTGTCAACCCTTTCACTGGGCCACATATCACACGTCCTGCATGTTAGATATTTGTGATTCATAACAGAAAAGTACAGTTATGGAGAAGCAATAAAAATGTGTGATTGGGGACACCTCAATAGGAACTGTATGACAGGGTCCCAGCATTGGGAAGGTTGAGAACCACTGGAATACTCCAACAATGGCCAAGGATCTAGTAGTTGTTCAGTCCACAACTTAAGTTCCAGGGATGTCATAAAGAGCTGCCAGTTTTCAGTCTTCATTGGAATCTCAAACAAATAGGTTCTAGCACCAGGGAACGAATGGCTTAGGAACAGGACAGATGAACTTGCCAGTTAGAGTCACAAAGCTGGCAAAAAGCAAAAGCTTCCTTCTCCGTCCTTTTATCTGGGCTGCCACAAGAAGGCATGGCCCAGATTTAGGGTGGGTCTCCCACCTCAGCCCAACAAAAATACCTCACAGATGTGCCCAGCTGCTTGGGTTTTAGCTAATTGCAGATGTAGTCAAGTTGACAACCAAGAACAAACATCACCAAAAAAAAAAAAAAGAACATTATGTTATCTAGGGAGTTCCATGCCTACCTGAGCTACATGAGACCCTATTTAATGGGGAAAAAACCAAAGATCAGCACTTTAATCATTGGTCAGCAGTCATGTGTATCACAGCTAAAGCTTTCTGTGACACATGAAAAATAAGCCAGCCTCTGGCTGGGGGCCGCTGAGAGGTGAAGAGTGACACTGGGTCAGGGGTGTAGGAGACTGTCCTAATTACCATTCTGTTGCTGTGAAGACCATAAACAAGACAGCTTATAGGAGAAAGTTAAATTTGCGCTTGCTTGCAGTGCAGCAGCCTAGTCAACGATGACAGGAGGCAGACTGACACGGAGCATAGCTGATGGGTTCCACCCCAGTGATACACCGCCTCCAACAAGGCCGCACCCACGCCATAAGACTGCACTTCCCAGTCCTTCCCAAATAGTCCATCACTGAAGGTTAAACATGCAGATATATAACAGGCCTGTGGGGCCGTTTTCATTCAAACCACCACAGAGATGGAGAGCCAGGCAGGCTTCACTCAGGGTGTGGTAGAGTGAGAACCACACCAGGCCACTGCAGTTCCTTCTCTTTCAGGATGCCAGAGAAAACAGGAGGAAATAGACACTTTCAAAAAGGCGACATTTTCAAACATAACACCCCACCAATTGCCACACCCCCCAAAGAGTTCAGCAAACCATAAAATCAAAAGACAAACTGGAGGGAGGTCTGTAGAGACAGCTCAGCTACTAGGAGCACTTTCTACTCTTTCAGAGGATCTGGATTTGATCCCTAACCCTTGCATGGTAACTCACACCATCTGTACTTCCAGTTCTAGGGGATCCTGTGCCCTCTTCTGGCCTCCAGGGGCACCAGGCACACGCGTGGTACACATGCATATATGCAAGCAAAATACTCAGACACAGAAAATAAGAACAAAGCCAGACATGGTGGCACATGCCTTGAAAGCAGCAGATATCTGTGAAATAGAGTCCAGCCTGGTTTACATAGCAAGTTCCAGGCCAGCCAAGGCTACATAATGAGAACCTGTTTCCAAAAACAAAAAAGGACAAACTGAGAAAAGGCGCTTACTTGCAAAGGGTACAGTGAGGTGCACCGCTGAATGCTCATTCACCACGAAGACAAAAGCCAAAGGGGGATAGGAAAGCTCAGTGCAGAGACTCAGGCTCCTCAGCACTTGGGAGGTGGAAACAGGGCTATGAAAGTTCAAGGATGGCATTGGCTACAGGAACAGTTGGAGGTTCCACGGGCTACAGGGGCCCCGGGCTCAGAAAAAGGAGGGAGGAGCCACAAACAACTGTATTTCAGAAGAAGAGCGAGCTGGGAATGTAATTCAGTGATAGAACTTTGTGCCTGGCACTAGAGTAGCTCAGAAGACAAAATACAGCCAACCTCACTCAGATCCCAGGACCTGACAAGTATGAGCGACAGGGACTCCCTGCTGGGGGCAACACGGTCTGAGAGAGATCTGGAAACCAGTTTCTGAGTAAATGAAAAGTAAACGGCAAGTGCACTCGCCCCTTGGTTGTGAAAATTCACTCCTGGGCATGTGCCTTGGAGATGAGCATTGAAGGCAGTAATGAGCAGCTATTGAACCTAGTGTGAGCTGGGGTCTGTTCTCAGGCTTTTACATGGGTTAACTCCTTTAATTTTTGTGGTGGTTTGAATGAGAATGGACACCATAACCTCATATATTTGAATACTTGGTCCTCAGTTGGTGGTCATGTTTGGGGAGGATTATGGGATGTGGGGCCTTGTTGGAGGAGGTGTGACATTGGGGGTGGGCTTTGAGGTTTCAAAAACCCACACCACTCAGTCAGCTCTCTTTGCTGACTCCTTCTTGCCCGTCAGATGTGAGCTCTCAGCTTCTGTTCCAGCGCATGCCTGCCTGCCCACCCACCCGCCCGCCTGCCTGCCACCAACTGCCATGCTCCCTGCTCTGAGGATCATGGACTCTAACCCTCTGGAACCATGAGCCCCAATAAACATTTTCTTTTACAAGTTGCCTTGGCCATGGGTTTCCAGCAATAGAAGAGTAACTAATACAATCCTCTACCTATTTATCAGCAGGACATTGTTTACTTTACAGATAAGGAAACAGGCCACGGAGTAAGCAGGGCCTGAATTACCCATAAACACCAGGCCAAACGCTCAGTGCACATTGCTCATGTTATGTGGTCTGTGAGGCACTTGCTGTTCATCGTACACATGAAAATATTGAGTAGAAATGTGCCTGGCTCGATTCCCCTGGATTGCTCAGCATGCTTTCTTATCACTAATTGAGAAAATGCCTTACAGCTGGATCTCAAGGAGGCATTTCCTTATCTGAGGCTCCTTCCTCTCTGATGACTCTAGCTTGTGTCAAGTTGACACAAAACCAGACAGTACCCTGTGGCTGGTCACCTCTCCTCTGCTGGACTTCCCCAGAACCAGTGGAAGCAGAATACAGATGGGCTGCATAACTGCCCTGCACAGAGTCAAAAGTCCCAGACAGACTGTATCTCTCCTCTGGAAGAGACCCATTGCACTGGGAAGGAGTATTGGTCACTTTTGGGAGGAAAGGGAAAGTGGAGGCTGAGGGGCTTGGCAATGGTTTGGAATCACAGCTGGAGAGAAAGAGCTGGTAATGGTAAGCAGGCAAAATACCAATGCACATTAAAAATGTTTAAGAAATAGAAAAGGCTGGAGTGTGGGCGCTCGCCTTGGAGGACAGGGTGAGCCGGGCAGGAGCATATGTCTCTGGTGGAAAGGGCTGGGGCAGGAGGATCACTTAAGCCTAGGAATTTGAGAGCAGCCCACTCGACAGAACAAGGCCCCACCTCAAAAGATCAGAAGGCCAGGATGGTGGAGGATGGGCAGTTTTGACAAGCTAGTGGCCTTCCCCATACTGAAGCCACTGAGACAAACAGGAGCTATGGTTGTAAGAAAGTGAGAGACAGAGGGGTGGGGGAGTTTGGCTTTGAGGGAGGGAATTAGTTGGATGCAGCATAGACCAGAATAGCAAAGAGGAGAGGGGTTTATTCTGGGCCCCTTAGGCATATGGACAAACCCAAAGACAATTGGCCCCACATTGATCCAGATGGCTCAGAACCTGGAATGGTTGGTCTATGGATGCTACTGCTCTCCTGCTACAGATCACCCCACCAAAGGTCAACTTTGATACCTTCCCAGTGTTTGAGACTCCTTGACCAAACTGTAATCTCTCCATCAAATCCACTTCCTGAGAAACAGTCTGCCCTCATGAAAATCCAGTTCTCTTCATATAGTGAAGTGGGGCAGTTGACAAGATTCCCAGTTTTCACTCTTTCTGCACATCCAGTAATTCAGGAAGGGGTTTACAGATCCAGGTAGACTGTGGAGAGGAATTTCTAGGGAAATTCTAAAAGCTGCATTAGAGTCTCAGAAAACTCAGCAGAGAAGCAAGCAGGTGCCATGGCTGGCTCTACACAGCTCTGCAGGACTTCTGGTTAGTAGATGGGAATGGGGAGTCTGGACGGGGAGATCACATGGCAGGGTCAGGAAGGGTGTCCAGGAAAAGAGTGGCCAGTGTCTCAGAGTTTCCATTGCTGTGATGAAATGCCATCACCAAAGCTAATTGGAGAAGAAAGGGTTTATTTGTCTTATACTTCCACATCACTGTTCATCATCAAAGGAAGTCAGGACAGAAACTCAAACAGGGCAGGAACCTTGAGGCAGGAGCTGACACAGAGGCCAATGCTGCTCAGTGGCTTACTCCTCATGGCTTGTTCTTAAAGAACCCAAGACCACCAGCTCAGGGATGGCAGCACCCACAATGGGCTGGACTCTTCCCCCATCAATCACTAATTAAGAAAATGCCCTACAGGCTTGCCTACTGTCCAGTCTTATGGAGGCATCTTCTCAACCAAGCTCCCTTCTTTCTGATGACTATAACTTGTGTCAAGCTGACATAAAACTAGCCAGCACAACTGACTCCTTGTCAGCTTGACACACAAATACATCATTGTTGAACACATTTTTTTTGTTCATCCCCAAGATCACACATTAATATGAATATCACGATATAAAATATTCCAAGTCTTAAAAGTCCCATAGTCTTCACAAATGCAAACACTTTAAAATTCAATGTATTAAAAAAAATCCGAAGTCTCTTTCAAAATCTAAAATCTCTTTGAAAATTCAGTCTCTTCACTGGGCATGATGGGGCACACCTGTAATCCTAGCACTCATGGATGCAGAGGCAGGTGGATTTCTATAGGGCAGCCTGATCTACAAAGCAAGTCCAGGACAGCCAAGACTATACCAAGAAACCCTGTCTTGAAAAACTAGATAATAATAATAATAATAATAATAATAATAATAATAATAATTTATTATTATTATTCAGTCTCCCTTAGGGCTGGACAGGTAGATCAGTGGTTAAGAGTACTGGCTGCTCTTCCAGAGGACCTGGGTTCAATTCCCTGCACCCACATGGCAACTCTCAAGTATCTGTAACTCCAGTTCCAGGAGATCTAACACCCTCACACAGACATCTGTGCAGGCAAAACACCAATGCATATAAAATTAAAAAGAAATCATTTTAAAAATCCAGTCTTTCAATTGTGGGCTCCTACAGAATAAAAAAATACTTTCTTACTTTGAAAGGGAAGAACCAGGACACAGTCACAATCCGAGTAAAGTCAAGCTTCAACTGTGTAAATAACTGTTTAATGTCTGGGGTCTCCTCACAGTCTTGCGGACCCTGCAAGGCCCTGGGTCACTTCTCTGGCTCCACCTCTGCAGCATTGCACATGTCGTCGGCCCCACTCTGCTGCTGCTGTTCTTGATGGTCTCCCATGGTACTGGCATCTCCAAAATGCCGGCATCTGCTGCAACTGGCCCTCACTTTCACCAACAGCCTTTCCTGGCTCTCTTCATGGTGCCAAGCCTCAACTTCTCTGCATGACCCCTTCAGTCCTGGGCCTGCTACTGCTGCTGAAGCTGCACTTTCACCAGTGGCTTCTCCTGGCTTCTCACAGTGCCAAGCCTCAGCTGCTCTCCATGACCTCTTCATGCCTTCAAAACCAGTACCACCTGGCCACTCTTACACTACCAAGTTTGGTTGCCAGTGCGAGGTATGACCTTAGCAACCTCAGAGCACAGCTTCTGAGTGTTGTCTCAGAAAGCACTTCCCAGAAGCCTTCATGTCAGTGATGCTGGTCTTTTCTCAATCATAGCTAATTTCTCAGCTCCAGCTAGCCAGCATCAATTGTCTCAGTAAAGCAAAGGTTTCACTTCAGTGTTGGCTGGGTTCTTGTTAATTGCTCATCAGCCCCAGCTGACCAGACACCACACTCTTCACACAATTGGCCAAGTGGAGTCTTTGCTCCCTCTGAAATCTCACAAGCCAGGCTTCCATCATCTGCAATGATCAATATTCTTATCATCCAAGCTCCTAAAGAACATCCCACTGAGCTGGGCTCCATGGTGCATGCCTGTAATCTCAGCACTCAGGCAGGCAGAGGGAGGTGGATTGCTGTGAGTTTGAGGCTAGCCTGGTCTACAAAGGGGGAAAAAAAAAAAGAAGCCACACCAATCTTAGTTAGGGTTACTACTGATGATGAAACACCACAACCAAAAGCAGGTTGGGAAGGAAAGGGTTTATTTGCTTACACTTCCACATCATTGTTTTTCATTGAAAGAAGTCAGGACAGAAACTCAAACAGGGCAGGAACCTGGAGGCAGGAGCTGATGCAGAGGCATTGAAGGAGTGGAGCCCACTGGCTTGTTCTTCATGGCTTGCTCACAGCCTGCTTTCTTACAGAGTCCAGGACCACCAGCCCAGGGCTGGCACCACCTACAATGGACTGCCCACTCTTCCATCAATCACTATTTTTTAAAAAGTGTCCTACACACTTGCCTGCAGCCCAGTCTCACAAAGACATTTTCTCAATTGAGGCTCCTTCCTTTCTGATAACTATTCATTGTGTCATGTTAACATCAAACTAGCCAGCACAGCCAGATAGGCTGAGGAGATGCAAATCCCAAACTGGCTTGCCTGCGGCGGTTGAGGATGCTCATGCCAGCCAGCTGAGAGCAAACACCTGAGACAGGTCAGGAGGCCCAGGGCCTAGCAGCTGTGTGTCCTGGGGTAAGCTACACACTCTCCTAGCAGTCTTTCTTCCTATAACAGGGATTTGGAGCTGTATGAGGCATCTGTAAAGAGTAACTTTACTGAGTTTCAAAACCTGGTGCTCAAGGATTTCCCCAGCAGAACACAGGGTCACTGGTAGCATTCTTATGCCAGTGGGCATATAAAGCCTTATGAGGATCTTGGCACCCCCAACTGGTCAGTCTGTTCCCAAGTCTCCTAGCCACAGATCCACCAGGACAGGAGCTACGCACATGGCCTCCACAAAGAGTCAACAGTTAAGTCAATGCAGGCATTTTAGGCCCCGTAGCAGACAGGGGCCAAAGATGGTAGCTACCTACCACACCATATAGTCATAGAGCTTGTTCCCCTAAGGAGCCCTTGCTCTCCTGGGAGCCCAGCTCCCTACGGCAGGTCCACCTACCCCCTGAAAGTGGGCAGGGCTAACCCGGGTCTCTGGAGCTTCAAGAGCACAGCTGTGACAGCAGTGCTCAGGGCCAGTTGAACAGTGCCTGGGCTTGTCCCCTGGCTCTCAGTTGTCTTCGGTGCCCTCCTGGCCTCCAGGTCTAGGATTGGAACCTGGGAGCAGATGAACAGAGGCTGACACCAAGAGACTAAGAGACACACAGGTACCCAGACAGGATAGGCTGCCTTCCCTTCTGGTTGGCTGAATTGTTCAGGTTCTCACATCCCCAGCCTTGGCTGTGAGCTTGGGCTATACTGACCAGGGGACCAATTCTCCATCTTAGCTGCTGACACTAGGTTCTGGTAGCGTAGCAGTCAAATCTTGGCGCTGCCCCCACACACATAGTCACCATACATCTGCCCATGCTTGGAGTCCACTCTTGCAACAGAAAATTGCTGCAGCCCAGAAGTCCTATCTACTCCTGGCTTTGAATGCCCAGCAACTACAGGTGCCTGGACAGGGAGTTTGAGACCCCTTATACAGAAAAAGAGCTGAGGAGCCTCAGTGACTGTCGGTACCTCCCACTGTTTTTTGCAAGAGTTCTGGGGTCCTCAGGTAGGGCTTGTTGAGGGGCCCGATCTCATGTGGGGCCATCACCTGCTGCTCTAAGCTCCTCTAAGTCTCAATATCCATCTGATTGTTTTTTTCCCCCAGGCCCTGTGTCCTATTCCTGTTGCCTGCCAGGGAAGGCCTAGGAGGGACAAATTGCATTCTCATCCTGGCCCACATATCCACCTTGAGGTTTGGTCAGGACCCCGCTGCAAACAGCTCTACTCTGCAGCCTAGGCTCACATGCCCTCATGGTTCTCTGTGGAGGAGGTAGGCATAGGGAGCAGTGCCCACGACCATCCTCCTCTGAGCACTGCAGCCTCTTGTGGCTGTGATCCTCCTGGGGTCATATGAGGAGACAAATGAAACTGTTTCCTGAGATCCTAAGTCACACCCACCCACCCAACAAGAAAGTAGCAGGAAGCAAGGTGGGGGTGTTGTGTGAGCTGTGTCCCCTAAAAAAGAATTTTTTGCAGTCTCTTGCACCTCAAAATATGACCATATTTGGAGATGATAATCAAGTTAAAAGGAGGCTCTTGAACTAGGTCCTAATCCCACGTGCCTGTGATCTTTACAGAAGGGCAAAGGTAAATTCAGATGCAGATATGGCCTGGGAGCAAAGGAAAGTGAGGGCAGGGACTCCGGTTACAGGAATGGCAAAGGCTGTAGAATCCAGCAGAGCCTGCAGCTCAGAGCCCACGGCAGCCACCCTGCATCAGGCTCTGCCACTGAGATTCCAGCCTGCAGAACTGGTTTAGCCTGGGGCTGAGGTGCTTGGCTGTGGCTAGCTAGCAAACTAGAATAGGGGGAGCAAGGATGGACCCCGCACACATGGCAGCTCTTGGGACCCCCAGATAATCCTGATTTCAAAGGGAGCTTTCTTTTCTTGTGTGGCTACTCTTAGAGCCCCAGGAAACATTTAAGCTAATAGCTACATGTGTAACCATGTAACGAGGACAGTTGTCCTCATTTTTACAGCTTTGGCCCAGAGAAGTAGGTACCAGAGACTTGCCCAAGGTCACACAGGTAATATGGAGCCAGGATTTCAGACCAGCATTCACACTTCTCATCTCTGCCTTAAACACAGTAAGGACCTGGGATTAAGGACAGCCTGAGGTAGAGATTCAGAGAGCGGTCAGGTAAAAGGAGCTTGAAGACAGGAATGTAATTAGAAGGCAGAACTTGAGGGGCATAGGGGCATAGGAGAAGAAGAGGGAGGGAGGGTGGGATTGGGAGGGGATGGGGCAACAGCTGGGATACAAAGTGAATAAACTGTAATTAATAAAAATAAAATAAAATAAAAAAGAAGGCAGAACTTGTTGGAGGACTGGGGTCCCTAAGCTCTGGGCCTTTGCCAATCACATGGCCTAGCATGGGCTACAGCCAGCCCCTGTCCAACTGCTGTACTACCTGGCTGAGTTCTGCCTGGTAAGCTTGGCCCATGGTCCACAGACCACATGTGCAGGCATCTGTGAACTGGAGTCCACATCCTGTGGCTCTCTCCTGACAGGCTCAGAGCGGGGATTAGCCAGCCACCTCTCTCCTCTCTTCCAGCGATATCAACAGGTCAGTGTAGACGGAGGCCTGCGACTCTATGTGGAACCCATCCCTACCCCCACAGTGTTGTATCCCAGGGACTCCCTGTGATAGCTGTGTCTTGCTGTGTGTGCACACGGCCGGGAAAATGCTCATTTGCCCAGGAGATCAAAGGGGAAAGGCTGCCAGGAGGAGGCAACTACTGAGTTGGGACTAGAGGTTGGGGGATGTCAGGGCCTCAGGCACCTGAACCCTTGATCTGGTTCCTGTCTCGCCTCCCACAGTAACCCCCTCACCAACTCCACTTGTCATTCCGGACAGGTATTGTTTTATATTTGTGTGTTCGATGTGCACCTACGGAAGCTAGAAGTCTATTCTCTCCTCCCACCTCAACATTGGTTCCAGGGATGGAACTTTGCCAGGGTTGTTCAAGTGCTGTTCCCTCCTGAGCCATCTCTCCAGTTGTTGTGCAGCAACTTCCCTGGAGATAAAACATTTCATCTTGGAGGAACCTTCATTAAGTCTCAGGGAGTGCAAATGGAGATTTGTTACTCAGGAAGTAAACAACTCAAAAAGCCTCAGGAAGTCCCTGAAACAGATGTGTTAGAGCCCCTCTCCCCAAGTTTATATAAGCAGTAAGGGCTGCTGTGTGCCATCCTCAAACTGGCAGCCCTGCTTAGAAGAGACATTCTCCAAACTGTCAGTTGAGCTTCCTTTGAGTTGTACAATGAGCTCTAGGTTTCCAGCTTTCAAGAGCTGTCGCCAGGGCTGGGGTGGGCTTCCAGTGACACAGCTGCCTGTGAGTCGTTCCTGCTCTTGAGAAGCGCCCCTCATTCATATGCCCGTAAGGAACCCCAGTAAACTCAATGCTTTCACTATCCTTACTTTGGGTGCTATCCTTACTTTGTCCTCAATTCCCTGTCTTGAGAAAGCAGGTATTTGTTCAAGGCCCCTGCCTGGGTCAGGGATCATTCACAAGCTCCCACACATCCTGCTCTTCTCTGGGCCTTTGTACCTGTTGCTTGCTCTTCCTGAAGTGCCATGTATTTCAGTTTTCCTCTGGGAAAATGCCCGCTCACCTTTCAGGGAGGCTCAGAGGTTCAGAATCCCGTTCTTTGGAGAGGCCCTTTCTATCTATTGTCCAGCCCCTGGTTGAATTCACTAAATTGTAATCGCTTGTTTCTTGGCCTGTATACCCTCAATCCATACCCTTTTGGGGACATGGAGCAGGCTGCTCTGACATGGGTTCTGCACAATAGAGGGGCCCAGGTGTGTAGAAGATGCTTAACAAATGCGTGCTGAATAGCTGGGATCACGATGAAGGGCAGGCAAAGAGAGGGAAGGAGGCATAGGGTAAAGCTTGGGGGAGAGCCTAGTCGCAGTTGAGAAGAGAATGGAGAGCAAAGGAAGGTGGAGAGGGCACCTACCTGGGAGGGCCAGACCCTGCTCTGCCTCTGGAGTCCCTGAAGTAGAGCCATATATGTATCAGAGCAACTGCCACCCGGCGCCAGCATGCCCTCCAGTAGTCAGCTCCCTCCTCATGATGCAACCTGGGAGCTGGCTCCTGCTTGCCCAGCTCCCTCCTGAGGGAAGATGGTACCTCCCAGAAACTGAGGTGTGCTGGCAAATGAGGCACTCTGGACTCTGTGTGGGGCCTTTATCGTTTCAAAGACAGATGTACTCACTGTCTCGTTAGCTGGACAGTAAGGTCTCCTTCCTTCGTGTTTTCCTGCACACCCAGAAGCCCTCTGTCCTGGGGCTTTAGTTCCCACACATCTAGAGTTGAACAGCAATCTTCATATTATCTAACCCTGCTCCCCTGCCTCTGGGTGCCATGAGTAGTGGAGATAGAACTCCCCCCTCCTCAGTTATTTGATACAAGGTCTCTCTCCTGTAGTCTATGCTGGCTTCAAACTCATTGTGTGGTTCTGGATAACCTTGAATCCCTGACCCTTGAATCCCTGCCTCTACCGTCTAAGTGCTAGGATTACAGGAGTATGCCATCATGCCCAACTGAGATAAGGCTAAAATTTTCCCCAAGTGCCCCATAAAAGAGACAGGATGTGACCAACATGAACACAGATACACAGGAAAGGGAGTTGGACCCTGGCCATGTGACTCAGGGTTGGATTTCTGATCATACTTACTAACCAGTGACAGAGGGTGGCCAAGATCTTGGCAATGGGGCATCTCACTCTGTGAGAATAGGGGACCCATCCCAGCCTAGCTTGCACACTCTACTGGTCAGAGAACACCCCAGAGCTGTCAGAAGCACTGACTTCTCCTCAAGCAGCTGAGTACAATCCAGGGCCTGAGCACGGTCCTTTAACACTCTCATCTCTCCCTGCAGCAGCTGCTGCTGATCCAAGAAGTCCCTTCTTGGTCTGTGGCTCTGGCCCAGATCTTCCGAGTCTCTTGTTTACCTAGGAAGAATCCAGAGTAGTGGCTCAACCTCTACTGGGATTGTGAGATCCACGCTAGCCCTGAAGGGTTTACCTATGCATTCCCTTCCTCCCTGAACCCTTGAGTCACTCTTCCTTGGGAACCTAACTATCTTAGTCACTGTTCTATTGCTGGAAGAGACACCTTGATCAAGGTAACACTTATGAAAGAAAGTATTTAATTGGGAGCTTGCTTACAGTTTCAGAGGCTTATTCCATTATCATCATGGCTCAAGGAACATGGTGGCAGGAGGTATGGTACTGGAGAAGTAGCTGGGAGCTACATCCTGACCTGTAAGCAGAGAGAGGAGAGAAGAGAGAGCGAGAGCATGCTTAGGCCTACCATGACCTTTTGAAACTTCTAACAAGGCCACACTTAATCCAACAAGGTTACACTTCCTAATCCTTCTAATCCTTTCAAACCATACCATTACCTGGGACTAAGCATTCAAACATATGAGCCTTGCAGGGAGGGCATTCTTATTCATACCACCACACCAGCCCTTCCAGGTAGTGTTCCCACCATTCCAGTTGTAGAGACATTTCCACAGACCAATCTAGGCCTTCACTGAACTGCCAACCTGCAGAGTGGGCAGCTATGGGAACTGCTGTGTAGATGAACCTCAAGTTACACTCTGCGGAGGCCTGTTCCAGTTGGTCTCGTCTGGTCATTTTCTTTTTCACTTGTTCTTAGTAGCCCTTGTCCAGCTTCAGAAGCGCCCCCCCCCCCGGAATAGGACCAGTCCCTCTTCTCTCTGCCCCCAGGTATGTGTGTGATGGGACCCACTCTGTATCCAAATTTCTCCTGCCAGGAGTCTTAACCCACCTGAGCAAGTATCAGATGATGCTTCTGCACAGAGTCCATTCCAGAGACAGGGCAGAAATCTCAAATACCCCCAGGGAGACTCTGCCTGGGCTCCGAGGCTTCTGGGCCCTGTCATCACAGCTCTGCTCCTGGATCTGCAGGCCAGGCCTCATTATTTACCATGAATATACAGTGTAGGATCCTGGGGCCTTTTCCCATTCAAGGGGCATGTCATGGCTAGGACCTCCCCACAACTTGAATTGTGGACCTACACAAGCTTTTCTCTACAGTCTGGTTTCAGTTTTTCCATTTGACCAGGGGAAATTGAACTGAATGGTAAAAGAATGAGAAGGAGGTCCCTCTGCCTGGGTAAAAGCCTGCTTATTACATTCCTTTCTTAGGTCCTTCTTCAAGAAGGAAGAGCAGACAACAAAGTAGGACACCGTTGCAGCTGTAACAGATCTGGGGCAGAGCTCTGCCATACATCCACTTGGGAGGAGAGCTCTGGTGTCATCCCTTATCCCAGGGCTCTCTAGGCTAGGCTCTGGGCCAACCAGCTGTCAACACATCAGGTCCAAATGCTGCTGAGCCTTTCCCACCACTGTCTGCAGCAGAAAGACAAAAGGGCTGTCTGCCTGTCCTCTGCCACTCCTTCTCTCCTAGTCCCCACCCTCGCTTGTTTTCTGGCCTGACTTCTTCCACAGCTGTTGTCCCTGGGGTTCCCACAGCAGGTGCTTCCACGGCTCCAGTTGGGCCAGAGGGCATTCCAGCTGCTGGGAATAACGCTGAAGGTGGCAGGCGTGCAGAGCCACTGGGGATGCTGGTTTGGATGGAGGCTGCAGCCTCAGATAAAGCAGATTCCTAGCAGGGGCCGAGCTGATGGCCGGACAGGAGTCTTGAGTCATGGCTTATACACAGGGAGTGTGGCTCATAGCCCAGGGAGGGTGGAGGAGAAAAGTGGGCTGCTCTGCTGTTATCTATTACTACAGAGCTCCAGATGTGCATGCTCTACCCCCAGCTGCTCTGAGACACACCACCTCTCCTTTGTAGCTGCAGATGGCCCTAGAGCTCAGGACAGCAGTGCTGGGGACTCTGTTGTGGAATGCTAGAGATCAGGAAGTCTAAGGAGATGGGTTGTCAACTGGGTCCTGATGGTCACAGAGCCCAGGTGGAGAGTGGTTAGACCCATCAGGGTCATCAATGGGCTGAGACAAGGAGTCATTAAATACTCAGACATCTTGGCAATCAAAGTGATTCTACCCTGTACCCTTGCAAAGAGCAGGGATGTTGGTGACCTTACTAGGAAGCCTCACCATACAGTCAACTCCCTATCTCTGGTGTTAGCCACTTTATCTGGCTACATAAGGAAGCAATATCCTGGCCCTTCCTCTGTCTCCAGGTAGTGAGTGTCCTTAGTATCACCCAGCACATGCCTGCCAAATGTTAGCACAGCTCCATGGACAGCCATGAGAGAGGGCTGTCCAACAGGCTCTCCCTGCTGGTATTCCATTCCCTTTTCTTCTCCTGACTCCCCGACTCTTAGAACATGAATCCAGATGAGGGCAGGAGCTCTGGGCACCCTGGCACTTTCATCCTGTAAGAGGACCTTGTCAGTTTAGAAGATTTTCCTGGGGCTGCAGGTAGGTAAGGAGGACCTGGGGAAGAGGCTGGGAGACTCATTTTCTTTCTGAGCATTGGCTCACAGCAGGCCCGGTTTAACCCCACCTTGTGCTCACACTTTCACAGAATTTGGGCTAGTCGAAACAGGGCCTCTGGCACCACTCACAGGTGGCTGCCAGCTTGATCTTCTGCCACCTGTTCTCTGCCGGCCCCAAAGTTCCTGTGACTGCTTCCTGTCCCACTGTGGTCCTCTGAACACCTGCCAGGAAGAGAGGAGCCCTGCATTCCAGGAAGCTGCTGTATTCGATTCCCTCACTTACCTTAACATTCAGTGGACACAGAACACTAGCCACAGGTGGCAGGAGTGCCAGGGACAGCTGGCAGAGTTGGGTATGTGTCCACAGACACTGAAATAAGCCCGCAGGTTTTCGATATGGAGCTGTCCTGGTTCCTAAGTGTAAGGCTGAGATGCAGACCCGGGGCCCATCCCGCCAGCCACCCTGGTCCTCAATGATTTGATTCAGACTTCCCATAGATATCAACCTCAGCCCATCTTGTTCTCAGTTCTAGGCTTCCCTGAGCTACGGGTGCTGACTGCAGGCAGCCTTCCCCAACCAACAGGCCCTTGTTTGATCTCACAAGAGCCAGTTTAGGAGGGAAATTGAAGCTGAAAACAGGATGATGGACACCTCAAGTCATGCTGGCAGTCCCAGAAAGACTGGACTTTGTACCCAGGGCTGGCTTAAGGGCCATTTTTCCCCAACCCTGCCACTGCCCAAGTACAGAATCTGGAAACTATAGGGCTCAGGTGGACATTTGCAACCTACCACTTTATGATGTAAGGAACCAGAAGTGTGTTTCTGCTCTGGGACTTCTGTGGCTTCAGCTGTTGCCTCCATGCCCACCGGCTTAGTGAGGGGACTCATGGGCTAGCATGAGCTAGCATGGGCTAGGGTGAGCTGGTGCCACTTTTTCTTACCACTGGCCTCTTCACCTACAAGGGCTAGATCAAGTCCTCATGGGATTTTATCCACTTGCAGGATGTGGGGGACTCTGTGGCCTTCCCATTCCCAGACTCCAGTGTCCTGTCCCAGCTTTAGGGAGGGTCTAGAAGATGCCTCCTCTTCACTGGGCCCCTTTCCTACCCCATCCTCAAGGCTCTGACACACATTTCTTAGAACTTAGTCCCTCTCAGGCTGGCACCACCTTCCAGCAGGTCCCTCCCCCTCTAAGCAGGATGACTCCCTCTACTCCAGGTCCATTCCTGGGGGCCCTCCTGGTTGTTTTCCTACATCGGCACCACTATAAAACAGATCCAGAGACTGATCCCACAGACTGGCACAGCACCCACAACTCCACCTTAATTGCCCAAAAAGAAGTGAGGCCTCTTGTCCTCTGAGAAGCAGAGCTGTGCTGAACTTGTTCTAAGAAGTTCGTCATCTTCCAAGCCAGATTGTTGGGTGTGAGGAGCCAAGTGAGGGTGGCATCACAGCAGAAGAACCTTATCTCTCCCAAGATGCTTTCCAAGGAGGTGACCTTAGGGCTGAAGCTAAAATGTGCATCAATTCATTCCAAATAGGAAAAAGCTAGATGTGGCAGAGAAGACTGCAAGGGCAGCCAGATGAGAGAGTGCTGGGCCCCAGGGACCTGGGAAGTTAAAAAAAAAAAAAAGTAGGAAGAAACAGGAGCTGTGGGGGTTGAGTAAAAGCAAAGCAGGGGCTCTCCTTGGTGCCCTGGAGTCATGCTGCAGGCCAGGCATCCAGAAAAGGCTCATAAGCTGGGAAAAGTGTGGTGCCTATAAGCAATGGGTGGGCTCCAAACCTCCTCTTGGGGGCCAGGAGTGGGGAGGTGATGAGGAGCTGGTCTGAGTTCCCTCTCAGCAGAGTAATAGAGAGAGATGTACGTATGTAGGAAGAAGTGAGTGAACCCAACTTTACTTCAGGACCATTTTCTTTTTCCTGGTTTGAGTTCTTTTATGAAGAGAGATAAGAGAACCCTAAAGGGAGATCCACAGGAGGAAGACCAAGCTGCAGCTTCTGGAGAGGACAGGATTATGTCCTGTTTACATTAAAGCTCCTGTTTACATTAAAGTAAGTGAGAGGTGCTTTCTGGAGAGGGGTATGGGTGGGGACTGGGGGTAGATCACCTGGATTTTTCCTGTTAAGAGGCAAGCAGGGAACAGGGATTGCCTCTGACATTAACTGATTGGCCTGCTCTTTGATCACCTCCCCTTGAGGGGGGAGCAGCCTTACCAGGCCACAGAAGATGACAATGCAGCCACTCCTGATGAGATCTGATAGACTAGGATCAGAAGGAAGGAGAGGAAGACATCTCCTATCGGACTTGGAGAGGGGCAGAGGGAGAAAGGGAAGGGAAGGTGGGATTGGAAGGGGAGGTGGGAGGGATACAAAGTAAATAAAGTGTAATTAATAAAAATTAAAAAAAAAAAAAGCCCTGCTCAGATGTACTCTGTAGACTCAGTCTCAAGTGGGATCCCTAGTAAGAGGAGCAGGGACTGTCTCTGACATGAACTCAGTGGCAGGCTCTCTGATCACCTCCCCCTGGGAAGGGGTGGGTGCAGCCTTACCAGGCCACAGAGGGGGACATGCAACCAGTCCTGATGAGACCTGGTAGGCTAGGGGAAAAAATAAAACAAACAAACAATCAAACAAACAAATAAATAAATAAAAAAGAGGGCAAGCAGGAAGACTTGCCTAAATTACCCCATTCCTGACGCTTGGGTTAGGCCAGGAGACGGGAGCTTTTTGAGGATGTTAGCCTTAAACTGGGGATGCTGGTTTTCCGCAGCCATGGAAACGCAGGTGGGCAACATTGGTGGGAGGTGAAGACACCGCAGAAACTTGTCAACGAATGAATGAAATTCTGTCAGTGTGGTTCTGGGCCTCAGGTGAGAGCTGCGTCTTCTGACGCCGAGAATTTTCAGTCTTTGGCTCCTAGGCTGGAAACACATGAGGCGGACCTAGGGGCAGAAGCAGCTGAAGCGGCTGTCAATTGTATATCTGCGTGGCCGGGAGGCGGCCGGTTTGAGGTTGCGTTAGCAAACGTAATCACCCAGCTTGTTTACTCAGCCACTGTTGTTTACTTGGGTGGTGATGAAGATGCCGAGCTACTACGTCAGAGCCAAAGGCAAAGGTCTCTGGAGACAGTTTCAGCACTGGAGGGGGCTAGGGAGCGGCAGCACCTGATGGAGCGCATCCTGCACGGGGAGGGGGCGCCTGGGAAACCCTGGCTGTCCGCGCGGAGTCAGCAAGATCCTAAAGGGATGCCCCGCCCTGGCCAGCCGCTCCAGCCCCGCTGACCTTGCGTGGCGTGGGGCAATTAGGCGCCGCGCCGCCCGCTTGGCTGCGCGACGCGCGGGGGCGGGGACGCCATCAAAGCGAGGCCTTCCTAAAAGACTGCGACCTGTTTTCTCTTCAGAAAAAAACAGGACTTAATGATCCTGCCACTACAAAGCGTGGGGCAGTAGGTGGGAGGGGTCTAGTCTGGGTGGCCTCAAGCCCGAGGCCGCGGCTTCTCGAGTAGCAGAGCGCGGCGCGGCGCGGCGCGGGGCTTTGGTGTGGCGCGGGTTTGCTAGCCCGGCCACCGTGCTGATTGACAGCAAGACGCTCTGAGGCGTCCAAGGGAAGGGGACGTCCTCTCCGTCAGACCCCACCGCCGAGGCTCGGGGAATCCTCCCGGAGACTGCCCGGCCAGCTCGAGCGAGGTGGGGCGTGGCGCCAAGACTTTCAAAAACCCCGCACAGGCCGAGAGCAGAATGTGTCGTCCGCTTCTTGCGCGCAAGCGGAGTCGCGCCCGCCTTCATCTGCCCGGGCGCAGCGACCGCCTTCATCTCTAGCGCCCTCCCGGGCCCCGGGAGAACAATGCCGGTCCTCTCCGCGCGCAGGAAGAGGCTGGCGAGCGCGGCCGGGCCGCGGCGGCGGAGCAGACCCAGCCTGGCAGTCCGGTGGGTTCCTCCTTTCGGCCCAGAGCCGGCCTCAGACCGCGGTCGCGGCCGCGCACCGATGCGGCCGCGGGGGCCTGCGTGCACCACAGCGCGGCGAGGGGTGGGCCGCGGCCCGAGGCTGCTCCCGGGACCTCCCGGGAGAGGCCTCCACGGCTGCGGCCCCGACCCCGGCAGGGCAGGCAGGTCCCCCAGAGTCTGCGAGTTGGGGGCTAGAGCGGCCAGGCCTCTGGGTCGGGTCGAGCCCGGGCGGCTGACGGCTGCGTCACGTGAGGGGGCGGTGCTGCCACGGGCGGAGGCCGGAGCCGGAAGCGGAAGAGGCGCTCGGAGTGGGGAGTGGGGCCTAGCCGCAGCCGGAGCCTGGGAGACGGTGAGTGTGGGCCCGAGCCCGCGGCCGGGTGGCCGGGGTGAGTCGGGGGGGACGGGCCAGCTGGTACGGGGACCTCGGCTGCCGGGCGGGTCTCGGCGTGTACCTGTTTCCCTCTTCGGCCCACGTCAGGCCGCGGTCCCGACCTCTCACCCCTGACCCGCCGCTTCTCTCCCGGAGGGCGGTCACTGCAGACCCCTGTTCTGGTTCCCGCGGTGCTGGAGGCGGAGCCCCAGCAGCCTCCTAGTCGGCTGGGAGGATCCACTTTGGGGCCCGCGCGGGTCCACAGGCTGGGGTCGTGTCCGACCTAGGCTATCTATCCTGGAAAGGCTTTCCCTGTCCCGGGCTCGAGGCTTAGCCCGCAAACCTACTCCGCGCGCCGCCTGGAGTTTGATTCTGGCCCAGGCTGGCCTTCCCTCTGGTCGCCGGGTCTTCCCTTGGCGGTTACGGGGAACGGGGCTTTGAGATCCCTGGGATCCGGGCGGAAGGAAGGGACTCGAGTGTGGGCCGCCGGCCCCCTCGGTGTTTTGTTATGATGGAACCACTCCGTCCCGGAGAATGGGCCAGACCAAGCCGGGAGTACAAATGTCCAGGCTGCTCCTCGGTCCGGTCGGGAGCCTCTATGCTTTAGTTCCGGGTGCGGGTGCCCTGATGCTAGGGTGGGAATTGCCTGAGTCTGGCCCCCGTCGAGGCGGAGTTGGCGGCCTTCCAGCTTCCCTCCTCCGTGCCCTTGAAAAGGAGGAGCGTTTTGCCCGGTGGCAGCCGCAGCTTGCGAGGTGGCAGGTTTGAGGTTGCAGCGGTGGGGCACTGCCAGCCAAAAATAACCATGGGTCGCTTGGGCGGCAGGAATCTGGGAGGGCAGCCGCTAACCTGGCTGGCTGCTCTTGTCAGCCCGGTTCTCTAGCCAGGAACAGCAAATGAGAAGCCAGCCAGGCCTGTCCTCAGAGAAAAGCTGGCATCCTTCGCTTGGTTTCATTGGTCATATTGCCTTTTTCTTCATTGTGCAGAGCGGAGCCTCCCAAAGAATAATTGTGGCTCTTTAATTTTAAAAAGCTTCTCTGCTGAGGTCTCAGGGAATCAGGGAATTTGTGAGAAATAAGCTCAAAAGTCCTGGCTGAGAAGCTGACCTGGGACGCCTGGTATTTCCCGGGTTTTCACAGGTTTTCACCTGCCCGGGATGTGTTGCCTCTACGGGGTACTTCATGGCCGTCATATTTGGCCATCTGTGTCAGTCTGGGAGGTGTTATCTTCATTTTCCAGGCATGGCAACTGAGGTCTCCAGTGACTTGTATAAGGCCACAGGGCCAGTAAGCGGCAGCACTGGGATTCAGTTCAAGATTTTCTGCCAAAACTTCCAACCTGATCCCTTGGAAGGAATTATAAATTAAGGCATTCAGCATCGTCCTGAGTATTTCCCGGAACTTTCTCAGTGCTAATGAAAGGTTGTCTTTAGTACTTACCTGGGCTAGGCTTTTGACTTTATAGGGCAGACATATTTCTTACAGAGCCTCTAAGAGGTTATTGTTCCTTTGTTTTAAGAGGAGGCTGAAGTTCAGAGTGGTTTAATAACTTGCCCAGAGGCAAACAGTGAGGTGGCAGTGCTGTGGATCAGGTTGGCATTTGACTCTGCAGCTGTGACTTTCCACTCAAGTGGACATGTGGTTACAGAAGTCTTCTAGGTCCCAGGAGGAAAACTTTGGAGTGCTGTGGATTAGATGCTCTGCCTGCCTGGTGAGGTGGTCAGGACCACCCTTGCCTTGTGGGGAGATACGTGCCCTGGCCAGTAGGATGTCTTGGGTCAATTGGTGAGACATGAGATACTGCTTTCAGTCCATAGCTTGAGCACTTGCCGTTAGATAATGGGGGTGGGGAAACATTTAGATGATTGGGAAAAACAAATTACTGCTTTTATGTAGTCTTTATCTCCAAGGATTTCTGGGTGCCCAGACTTTTCAGAAGGAGGGTTGCTATTGGAAAGATGGCAGTGCTTTTTTTATGGTCGCCAGAGGTTTTGATCAATTGGCCTTCCCATCCTGCTCATACACATATAGCTATTTCATCTTTGGATTCTGCTGGTGAGATGGTGCAGCCTTGATGGATTGGTTTAAAAGTTGCTTGGCCAGGCAAGCCTAGGACTGTGCAAGACCAGAGGTTGGGTGTAAGCAAGTGAAGGCTTGGAAAGCAAACAAGCTGTGCTCTCTGCCTGGCCATCTGGTGGAGAAAATGTGAAGGGGTTGGATACCGGTAAAAACAGGGTGCCAGCCTCATGGAGCCATCTTTCTCAATTGGTTGTTGATCCAGCTTGGGAGTCTCCTGTATTGGATCTAAGTCCTCAATGGCTAAAGAACACTTTTCCTCCTTCTCAATGTAAACCTGGAGCCACCTCTTGGCATCTCTAGAGAAAGGGCATAGGGGAGAGTGCTGGAGCAGGGGGAGCTAGAAGGGTGGCAGTGATGTTGGTAGAAGGTAGAGCACCTGCCATGGGACTGTAGTTGGTCTGAGGGCATTAAAATGTGCACCAGACAAGAAGCTTACATTCCCTGAGGGTTGTGGCACCTTCCTAGGCTGAGACCGTGGATAGGTCATTAAGGGCTGGGCAGGCCCTCAGGGGCCCAGCTTTGCTCAAGTGTTAGTGTTCTCCTCCCTGACTTTGAGTGTTGAACTTCTTTTGAGTTGAGTCCAGTTTATTGCTTTAGCCAGGCAAGTTTCAGTTTAGTACATTGGCTTTATGCCACCAGTTCATTGGCTTCTGGCTTCTAGAACATTTAGGTTATGGGATCCCATAAGCAAGAAGAAATTGAGCAAAACTTTCTAGTTACCTTGTTTTGTTTTTTTTTTTTTACCAGAGCTGAGGACCGAACCCAGGGCCTTGCGCTTGCTAGGCAAGCGCTCTACCACTGAGCTAAATCCCCAACCCCGAGCAAAACTTTCTTTTCCTCCTGTTTTTGGCATTTCTGTGGCAGTGCTCAGCATCCCCCTATATCTACTTCTGTATCCACATGTGACTTAAATAGTTCAAGTGTTTGGGGCCCTAGGCCATACTGGGAAGGCAGCTGTTTGTTTATTCACTGGCAAAGGAGGGAGTTACCCATTGTCTGCTTTTCTGTAACTGTGACCTCAGAGTTCTGTTTTACTTCATAAACCCTTGGGAGGGGCTACCCTTAAATAGAACAATGGGCCTCTTCTTCAGGAGCACCTGGCTGCACCAGGCAGCCCTGTGGCTGAAAGCAGTGAGCTGCGTGTTGAGCAGGGCTTTCTCTTTCTTGTGGCCTAGATGCATCATTGTAAGCGATACCGTTCCCCAGAGCCAGACCCATACCTGAGCTACCGCTGGAAGAGGAGGCGGTCTTACAGTCGGGAGCATGAAGGTCGACTACGATACCCATCCCGAAGGGAGCCTCCCCCACGGAGATCACGGTCCAGAAGGTGAGTGGGATCTGGGTTAGAGGGAAAAACTTCTTTCCTCAGCTAGCTGAGCAAAATGGCCCAGAGGCCCTGTTGGTTTCTGGTTCTTTTAGATGACTGCTTCTGCCCAGCTGCCCATAGATTCTTGCTCTGACCTCTTCGGGATCCCTGCGCATCCTACTTCTATTTCCTAGCCTCAGTGGAAGCTACAATTCTTTCTTTGTCACAGAGTGATGATTCTCCCGCTGTATTTTCTAGGCCAGTACTCTACCCCTGAGCCTTCCTCAGTGGGAAAGAGGAACATTGCCCTAGCCTTAGAAAGACTGGTCCCAAGTCCTGTCTGATTCCCCAGACCAAAGTTGCACTTGTACCATGCTGGTCAACTCTGGCACTGTTGGAGCCCTTTCCCTGTGCCCACTTTCCTCTTCTTCTTCCTCTCTGTTGTGGCACTGGACTGATGCTGGTCATTACCCAAGGCTCTGGAGAATAAGGTTGATACCTTTGCACCTTCTCCTCCCCTCTTCACTTCCCCTCAGCCAGGATGCTTCAGCTCTAACAGGCTTTCCTTGAGAGCCTTTGCAGAGGCCCTGCCAAAGGCCTCTGGCTGGTAGGGAAAGACTCATGTCGTTAACCCCTCTTGGCAGCCATGATCGCCTACCCTACCAGCGGAGATATCGGGAACACCGTGACAGCGACACATATCGGTGTGAAGAGCGGAGCCCATCCTTTGGAGAGGACTGCTATGGGTCTTCACGGTCTCGACATCGGAGACGGTCAAGAGAGAGGGGCCCATACCGTACCCGCAAGCATGCCCACCATTGTCACAAACGCCGAACCAGGTCTTGTAGCAGCGCCTCCTCGGTGAGTGGTGGCCAGAGTGTGCTAGCAGGGGCCTAAAGGCCTCATCTCTTTCTTGTCTTCTCTCAGGCTGGCTGGTCTGGGTGAGTACTGGCAGCCCTGTGCACATACACCACTGTGTGTGCACACGTGTGTGTGTGTGTGTGTGTGTGTGTGTGTGTGTGTGTGTTTGAGAGTGTGTATATGTGTGCAAGATTTTGTGTGTGTGTGTGTGTGTGTGTGTGTGTGTCATGTGGTACAGGACTGAGCAAGGATGTTAAGCCCTCCATCTTCTGGCCCCTTCCCAGTGGCAACTACAGGGGCTCTGGCTCCGGCGTTGGCTGGTTTCCAGCCTATCTGTGTCTACCCACTGTTCCAGACACAGGCTACATGGTACACATGACTGGGACACACTTCTCAGAGATCATACTAAGATTGTTGGTTTGTGGTTTGGGGCTATATGACCTGGTCTTTTTCATATCAGGTCTTGTCCCCTTCATCCCTCCACACAGTAGGTAAATGCTTTGACAAATGTGGACTTGACCACCTCTGCAGCCTCATCTCCACAGCCTTCCTCTCTCAAAGGACCGGAGTCTGCATTACCTGATAAAAAAAAGGATACTTTCCCAGTCAGTTTTCTTTTTCTTTTTTAAATGCTAGGATTCTAACCCAGGATGCATACATACTAGGCAAGTGCTCTACCACTGAACTGTATCACCCCAGCCCCCATGCCTCCTCTTTGTTTTTGAAAGTCTTGTTATGTATTCCAGGCTGGCCTAAAACTCGTGATTCTTTTGCCTCTACTTCCTGAGTGCTAGGCACCACTGCCTGGCTTCCTAGCCCTTTCTTTTTTTGATATTGTTCTTGAATTTCTGTGTTCAACCTTCCAAGTTGCTGGTCTGTAAGAGCATATTACTTTGCCCTGTCAGTCAGCTCAGCTTGGGAGCTTCCAATCTGACCTCCAGCCAGGCTGTCTTCCACCATGTTCCTTATAGGTGGGGGTGCTTGTCTTGAGATATTGCGTGATGGCCTCCCAGGCCTCACCTTGTTGCAGGCCACTTAAAGAGTAGAGGTTGGCCAGCACTCTAGGGTGGTGCGCTGCACAGACCAAGAGCCCACCCTGGACTCAAGTCCATGGAAAGAGAAAGTCACTTGTGTGTTTCTGAGGCTACGTGCTGCCTTCTCTTCTTCCTATTTGCTTTCCCATGTTGTCCTCCTGCTGGCCAAGAGGCCTCTGAATAGTAGTGGTGGGTTCAGTGGAATTATCTTCTCTGCCCAGTGCTCTGTGATTTGAGTGGTATGGGTTGAAGGTTGATTCTTGCAGGTGAATCCAGCATTGGCCTGTGGCCTCACACAGTGCCACATGCTGCCACTGGGTGGCAGTACAAGTCTGGTGTTCTGCTTATATTTGGTGCCCTCTGTCGTTGTGGGATGGGTCTGGCTTTTGAGTGGCACAAGTCCTAAGGCCAGGTCAGGAGCTGGCTTGGGGCCTGAAGGTCGGCTGGCTCAAAGGATCTCAGCCAGGCTCATTTCCTGCTGGAGTCTGGTGGCAGGAGGGCTGCTGGCAGAAGGCTGTTTCTGGTAGTTGGTTAAGTCTGGCCAAGGATGTCATGTGGGGGCAGGTAGTAGCTTGGTTCTACGTGGCAGCTGTTGAGCATGTTGTAAGGCTGTGTGGGCGAGCAGAGGCAGGCAAGGACAGGCTGAGCATACTGTTGCTGCTGAAGCCAGGGTAGCCCTCCAAACCAGTCCAGAAGGTTGGACCCAGGTTGGCCAGCTGCCTTTTTTTGCGCCGGTCACTCGTGCGTCTTCAGCTCTGGCCAAAGTTATGGGAGGGTCAGGGAGGGGGAGATTCAGAAGAGGAGGGAGTCAGGGCTGTGGCTGTACTTGGGGCCTGGCCCCTCTGTGTCAGAGGCAGGACATCTTTCTGAGCATTTGTGGCACTCTTCTTAGAGATAATGTCCGAGTTTTCTTACATACCTGTAGCTGTTTTTGCTTTTCTGTTTTGAAGTCAGTTTGTGTCTTGACGTGTCCCTTGCAATATCCCTATCGTTATATATGCTGTGTGCCTTATGAAATGCTGGGATCTGGAAAATCCAACCAACCAACCCACCGGCTCCTCACCGTCTCCACCTCTGCCTTTGACTGACACCTCAATCTGTCAATCGGAACCGCCTACCATGCGATTGGTCGGATGGCGTTTCGGGGGGCGGTGCATGCAGAGAAGCCAACAGAGCAGTAAGCGCAGCAGCCGGAGTGTGGAAGATGACAAGGAGGGCCACCTGGTGTGCCGGATCGGCGATTGGCTCCAAGAGCGATGTACAGCCACCTTTCGTAAAACTTTACCTCTCTACTTTCTACCCCCCTTGTTAGATGAGACCTCTCCTGCGTGGAGGGGCCTCTAGTGCGCGTGGCGCCTTAGTGGGGCCACCAGTAATTGCCTGAATGACACAGACACTAGCAACTTCTGTTTTAAAGAGTGTAGCAGTGAGCAAGAACCTTTGTTGTTTTTGAGGATTTGAATGCTGTGAACTTGCAGGAGCTGCCAGCCTCCCGCCCTCCGGACTCTCATGCCCAGCTTCTTCTCTCTCGCAGATGAGATCGTGGGGAACCTGGGTGAAGGCACCTTTGGCAAGGTGGTGGAGTGCTTGGACCATGCCAGGTGAGCATGCTGGGCAGCACAGCCAGCTCTGTGTGCGAACATCCTTGGAAGAGCTAGTGCAGCTCTATTTGGAGCGTAGCACCACTGCTGGTTATGTGTGTGGGGTTTGCTGATGTCATGAAATAAGGGAGAAATTCTTGGGATTTGACAAGCACGTGACATCCCTGCCCAAGAATTTGTGGTTAGTGTGTGCCTCTGCCCTAAATCCCTACTTCAGGCTGTGGCATTGGATATTAGGACAGGGCCAAAGGCCTGTCTTCTCTGTGGCCTGGAGCTGCACCCCATGAGCTTTTGGAGATTTTTAGCTAGGCCTCATCCATTTTTCTAATTTCTTGGGCTGAGAAAAAGATAAAAGGTCCTGGGAACCTTTAAGGAATTCAAAGGGAGTCAGTACAGGGAGTCAGTACAGAGACAGTGGAGGTAAAATTCAGCTGTGCTCGCAGTCCTGGTAAAGGGCTTCCTTTGGAATGAGTTACACCTGTGTTAAAAGACATACCAGCTGATTGCAGTGGCACACTTGAGAGGCAGAGGCAGGCAGATCTCTGTGAGTCCAAAGCCAGCCAAGGCTGTTATACAGAGAAACAAAACAAAAACAAAAAGATAAGAGTGGGGAGGGACCTTTTTTCAGAAGTCTGAAGTAGTGGCCTCTCCTTGGCCAGAAGGTTGCGAATGCTGCTGGCCAGGCCTGATACTGCCTTTGCCCCTCCCATGTCTGCCTCAGAAGTCCCAGCCGAGGGAACTGAGACTGTGGCCTTTCTCACCCAGTGTAGTAGATGTCGATATAGATGTATTACCTCAGATGTAATACGTGCTGAGTGAGTCCAGACTGGGGAAGACAGTACCTGTATGTGATAATCCCTCCAATTCTAACAGTATAACACCCTCTATCATTTGCCAGACTAGAGTCCTTTCTTCCTTTCCTGTCGCTGTATGTTAGGCAACCCTCAGAGGAACCACTTGTGTTCCTGCCTTAGTAACCTCTAACTGTTTTAGTGCATTAGCTACAGAGTGCTGGTGTCTTCATTTGAGCCATGCTGGTCACTGCTTCAGAGGTGAAACATGAACATGCTCTGGGGTTGGCCAAGTTACACTTCAGCCATTGATGATAGAACTGGGCCTGCTGTCCTTGGTGCTTCCACATTAAGTGAGCTGCTCAGAAAGGACCATTGGACCCAAAGTCAGCCATTCTTTCTGCCATGAGATGAGGTGCTAATGTGACTGAGAATCTTCCTCCTGCTCCCAATTTCCATTCAAATACCCCTTCATCCGTCATGACCCTAAAATGAGTATAGCGGCACATACACACTGTCTTATGACCAGATGTGGACTGGACAGATACGAGAACCTCTGACACAGGAAGACAGCTACAATGTGTGGGCTGTCCCTCTGAGTAGCTGGGAGTGGAAAATGAGCCTCTGAAGTCACTAAAGGATGGACATAGGACTTGGGAACCTTTAAGGAACTCAAAGGGAATCAGTGGAGGTAGAATTCAGCTTTGGTAGCAGCCCTAGAAGGGCTTCTTTTGGAATGAGTTTCACCTATCTTAAAGATAAGACTGCAATTTAGGAGGTAGGAGAATACCTTGTTTCAGAAGTTTGAAGTAATGACTTCTTTCTCTCCGCCTTCCGTGCTCAGGAAACCAGGGGGGAGGGGGAAGATGAGGGTTAGCAAAGAGAGCATTCTGAAGAAGTTCTCTTTGCCTGTGGGCCTATGAACTTGTTCCCAGTATCAAGGTCAACCCTTTGAGGTACCAGAGGATACCCTGATGGGCAAGGATCACCTCATTTCAGGTGTCCACTGGCACCTCAGCACTACCTCTCATTGTCAAATCTTGGCAATCTAGCCTGGCATGTTTCCTTGTCTGCTCACATCCTGCAAATGGCCTGTGAGACTGAGAGTGGATTATGGAGGGCAGAGCAACAACTGTGGAACTCATGGGAGTTCTTGGCTCTTTGTAGCTGGTGGGAAATGCTGAGGCAGTTAGATAGTTGGGGAAAGGGACCTGGATTAGGGTGTAGTATAGGGAGTGGCCCAGCCTTCAGCTGCCACCCTAACTGCTTGTTAAGCCTCATACTGCCCAGGTCAAGAAAGTACATGGTTAAGCTCTAAGTAGGGCAGCTTGGCCTACAGAATAGGCTATCAAGTAAGCTTCCAGAGACTGAGGTGAGTCAGGATTGGCCTCAGCTTCTCTGCCTGGATTCTCCCTGGGAAGGTGGGAGTTTCTGAGCTGCTAAAGGAACACGATAGCATGGAAGCCAAGACCATTCATTAGAGCTGCCAGGGGATCTTAGATGGTGAGCAGAGGTCTGGTGGTGTTCTCAGCAGGCTGGACCCTCAAGTATGAACACCATTTCATTACCTGTGGTTTATGTAGTAGGGTTTGTTTTGAGTTGCTGGTTTCAGGGAAGGGAAGAGAGCTGGGCACTTGGCTGATGAGAGCATTTGCTTCTTTCCTGGTCTACAGAGGGAAGTCACAGGTTGCCCTGAAGATCATCCGTAATGTGGGCAAGTACCGGGAGGCTGCCCGTCTAGAAATTAATGTTCTCAAGAAAATCAAGGAGAAAGACAAGGAGAATAAGTTGTGAGTGTCTGCAAGAAGTAGGAGGGGGTCACTCAATGGGGCAGCATCCTCTAGTCCCAGCTGTCTGGACCCTGGGGACTTCTCAGTGTCCTGCATGTATTTGGTACTGGTTCCTCAAAACACTCACGCAGGGAGTTTGATAGGTGTTCTTTCTGTAAAGAGCCCTTGGAGTCCAGGCTTTACCCTACCTTGCTTTGTGTTCTGAAGTACCCAGCCCTGCGTTTATGAGTTAGGGACCTCACAGGTTTGTGACACTGCTCAGACACTTAAAGAAGAGAGTTTTTCCTTGGCAGCTAGATACCAGCCAACTTCTCTACAGGCACTTAACTACAGAGCACTTCAGCAAAGGGGATGCGCCTGCCCAGGTCAAGAAGATCAGCAGTGGGCTGGAGAGATAATTCAGAGGTTAAGAGCACTAGTTGTTCTTCCAAAGGTCAAGAGTTCAATTCCCAGCAACCACATAGTAGCTCACAACCATCTATAGTGAGATCTGGTGCCCTCTTCTGGTGTGCAGGTGTACATGCAGACAGAACACTGTGTACATAATAAAGAAGTAAATCTTAAAAAGAAGTCCAGCAGTACCTGGAGACCCGTGCTGTACTGGTGCAATTCTAGCTGCCCCTTAGTAACTGTGTATGAGCTGGGATCAAAGTATAGCCCCTTCATACAACAGGAAGTATAGTTCTTGCTCACAACACATCTGTGTGATCTGAGACTTGCTTTGTATCTTGGTGTGCAAAACAGTGGCTTTATCTGGGACAAGGTGAGGCAGAGCTTACACCTCCACTTACCCTTTTCCTCCAGCCTATGTGTCCTCATGTCTGACTGGTTCAACTTCCATGGTCATATGTGCATCGCTTTTGAGCTCCTGGGCAAGAATACCTTTGAGTTCCTGAAGGAGAATAACTTCCAGCCTTATCCCCTACCACATGTCCGGCACATGGCCTACCAACTCTGTCACGCACTTAGATGTAAGTGTCCACTGGAGCATGAAATACTTTACCCTCAAAGCAGTCACCTGGTGGTCTTGCTGTCTGTCCTCCAGTATACTGTTGAACATTCTGTAAGGTCTCTGGCTGAAAAGTCCTTCTGTCTTCAGATAGGAATCTCGGTACAAGGATGGAAAAATCTGAGTTCCCTGGATGGGCCAGGCTCTTCCCCAGGTGCTTAGGAAGAAAATAGCAAAGTGCTCTAGGAGTGGTCTAGCTATTGACTCTGCTTTTACCTATATGGAAATGAGGAAAAGGTAGAAGGTGGACCTGACAGATCCTCAGGTCCTGCTATCCAGAGACCTTTCTCAGTTATCTACCAACCTTGAAAAGCAGCTTTGATGGACTTTGTACCATTGTAGGATTTATGTAGAAAGGCACCTTGGAAAGTGACAAGTGAAAGGCATAGAACTAAGATGTGTAGGGCCTGAGTTGGTGACTGGAAAAGAACCAGCAAGTAAGGGGCACAGCTCTGCAAAGGTCGAATATGTTGACTCACTCACTCCAGTGGAGAAGGGACATGCTGGAGAGTCTCTGGCTCAGGTGGGGTCACAGAATTGTGAAGATCTTACAGGCCAAGTGGGAACTTTGAAGTTGAAAAGTTAAGAGTGGTAGAAAGTGCCAGTGAAACAGATTGGAGGCAGAAGGCTTTCTTGTTCAGGGATAGCTTCATAGGCATGTGATCCCACAGTCCCCTCTGGTGCAGTGAGGCCTGTTAGTTGACACAGCTAGTCCAGAGGAAAAGGGAGTACTGATTCTGAGATGCATCTGAAGTTGTAGAATCTGTACATCTTTGCCTCTGTAGAGAATGGTAGAGGGATTTTTTGATGGAAAACATTCCTTTTGTGCCTTCTGAGGGCTTATGAGGCCGCCCCACAGAGAGCTCTTGACTAGGACCTCAGTGTTTGCTTCTCCTTCCCCTAGTTCTACATGAGAACCAACTGACCCACACAGACTTGAAGCCAGAGAACATCTTGTTTGTGAATTCTGAGTTTGAAACCCTCTACAATGAGCACAAGGTAGAACACTGACTGGGTGGGCAAGAGTATGGCCCTGCTCCAAGGTAGGTCACCTACCTGGTCAGACTGACCTAGCTGGCATGCCTTGCCTTCAGAGCTGTGAGGAGAAGTCAGTGAAGAACACCAGCATCCGAGTGGCAGACTTTGGCAGTGCCACATTTGACCATGAACATCATACCACCATTGTGGCCACCCGTCACTATCGCCCACCTGAGGTGATCCTTGGTGAGTGGCTTTATAGCCTCCAATATTGTTTACATTGGACAGCTACCAAAGTGCATAGCTGGATGTGGTGGTGTACACTTGTATTCTAAGTCCTTAGACGGTAGAGGCAGAAAAGATCAGGCCAGGCCAGCCTTGGGCAACACAAGACCCTGACTCAGTGAGGCAGGTGGTGGTAAGCAGAACCTATCAGTCTGTCATCCAGGACTAGACAATACCCGAGACACTGAGGTAGTCTTGGTCTTAGTCAGAAACAGCTTTATTAGTGGGGCTTGGGCAAGAGTTCTGCCAGCCAGAGTGACAGCTTCCTGGGGACTTGGGGTGCTGGGTCTCATGTCTTAACATCTTGGCTTACAGAGCTGGGCTGGGCACAGCCCTGTGATGTCTGGAGTATTGGCTGCATTCTCTTCGAGTACTACCGCGGCTTTACACTCTTCCAGGTATAGTACTGAGTTGGTAGGTTGGAGGGCACATGGGCAGGAAGCTCTGTGTGGTTGAGGAATTGATGTGTTCCATCCCTATAATGTGAATCTAGATTCTTAAGGGTTATAGTTGCTTAGGGAAACGAATTAAGAGAGTCTAAAGCAAGTAGGGAGGGTTTCCTCAAGGACAAGACTGGGTACAAACAGATTCTGTCTGGACAAGGACATATCATAGGCATCCTATGGCACAAAGAACCAACCTGGTGTGTAGTTAGCCAACCAGGTCCACAGCCTGGTTCCAGACCTATATGGGCTGCCACCAGGTTGGGTTTTCCTCTACTGGAGCAAGAAGAGATCTTGACCTATCAAGTAGGCAGAGGTTGGGCCTAATTCCTACTTATTCTGTCCCTGGTCTTCTGCAGACCCATGAAAACAGAGAACACTTGGTTATGATGGAGAAGATCCTAGGGCCCATCCCATCACACATGATCCACCGCACTAGGTAAGTCTGGGTCAGCAGGGTACTAGAGAATATAGCCTTTACCAAGTACTCTGTGGTTCTCTAAGCTCCTGAATAGCCTTTACTGTATGTCCCTTGAACCAGCCTGGATAAAGCTATTGCCCTGACTTACTGAGTCAGGCCCATACCTCTTTTCTGGCCCTGCCACCTGAAGTCTGACTAGGAGCTACTTTTTCCCACTTCCCCCCTGAGCCCGGACCCTAAGGGCTTTCTTACTCCTTGATTCCCTTTCTCCTCCCCATTGACTTTCCAGGAAGCAGAAATATTTCTACAAAGGGGGCCTGGTTTGGGATGAGAACAGCTCTGATGGGCGGTATGTGAAGGAGAACTGCAAACCGCTGAAGGTCAGTTTCTGGTTCCCCAAGCTCAGCTCATGCCAAGGAGACCCCAGGCACTGGGCAAACAAGCAGCAGAATCAGGATGGGTGGCCAACAGCTGCCCATCATCCCAGTTCTGTGTGAGGCAGCACCTAAGGCTACAGGGTACTGGCAGTGAGGCTTTCTGCAAGCTGTCCCTGTGGGGCCCTTAGCCCTGCCCCTGTCCACAAGGTGGCTACGAATATAATGGGGAAATACCTGGAAGAGCATGCTGTCAGATTGCTGCTTCCTGTCCCTCTCCTCAGAATTTTGGGAAGAACTAGGCAGGACTGAGGCAAGGGGGTGGGAAGACCTAGATGTGGCCAAAAGGAGGCTTGTCAACTGTAATTTGGTACCTGGACTAGTGCATTTCAGAGGTGATTTCTATACCATCAGAACTTCGCATGTGGGGTAGAGGCACCAGCCCATGAAGATCCCACCCGGTAGCCTAAGTTCTGAGCATGAAAGGAAAGGAGCGGCTGCTCTGTCTTGGAGGGCAGAAGTAGTCCTCCAAGGAGGCACCACCTCCTCAACCATCCCAGCAAGGCACCCCAGAGGCAAGGGACTGTGGTGGCCTCCCACAACCCTGCTGTCACACTGAGGTACCTTGTGTCCTTGAGCAGAGTTACATGCTCCAGGACTCCCTGGAGCACGTGCAGCTGTTTGACCTGATGAGGAGGATGTTAGAGTTCGACCCTGCTCAGCGCATCACACTGGCAGAAGCCTTGCTGCACCCCTTCTTTGCTGGCCTGACCCCCGAGGAGCGGTCCTTCCACAGCAGCCGTGACCCCAGCAGATGACAGGTGCAGGCCATCATATGAAGAGTTGGAGAGCTGGACTGGGCTGCTGGCCCCTCTTCTCCAGTCTCTCCCACTGGCCTCAGAGCCAGAGCCACCTCTGAACAGTGCAATGTGAAGGATGGCAGGAGCCTGCAAGGGATGGGGGATGTGGTGCCCAGCTGCCAGAAAGCACAGATTGGACCCAAGCTATTTATATGTTGTAAAGTTATAATAAAGTGTTTCTTACTGTTTGTAATCCCCTGGTACCAGTGTGTCCATCTCCAGGCTCCCTGCCTTCTCCCTTCTCTGACTGACTTATTTAATAAAGTCTTTCTCAGCAGCTCAGCTTGTGGAAAGCTAAGTGTGGATTGGAGCAGACACAAAAAGACTAGCCCAACAAGTTAGCAAGAAGCTGGAGCATCCCTCTAGGGCAGTGGTTCTCAACATGTGGGTCATGACCCCATTGGGGGTGGGAAGGTCAAACAACTTTTTCACAGGACCACCTAAGACCACCAGAAAACACTACAATGCATAATAAGAGTAAACTGTTTTGAAGTGGCAATGAAAATTTTACAGTCGCAGTATTTGGAAAGGTTGAGAACCACTGCTCTAGGGTTATAGAGAGTTGAGTTTTGGCCCCAGGATAGGGATGAGGTGTAAGACTTGCCAGACCAAGAAGGCGCTCGGCATTTCTCATTTCAAGGGACACACGGCTCCCTATAGCTAACCAAGGAGAATCTGGTTTTGCCTTATCCATCATGTCCCTATGTACATAACCATACCAACAATCAGTGATCAGGGAAGGCTCCTAGGGATTAGGGAAACGGCACTTCACACTCTACAAAGCAGTTCAGATAGCAAAGAGCTCTGTCACTTTATTTTAGTGCTGGCTTTGGGTTCCCCAGGAGCTGCATGCATTAGTGACAGATTTGACCACTTGACTGAAAACAGCAACTCGGCAGGAACTTCCAAAAAGAGCTGCAGGTAGGAGTAGAACACTTTCAATAACTCTAGAGAGGTCCAGGCAAAGGGCAAGGAGAAGAGGGTGAGTCTTAAGTCTGACCACTTCAGGGTCACCAGAACTTAATGCTAGTAATCACCTTCAGGATCAGAGTCCTACCTTATTTTGTAAGTGTCTAGTAACTTGTAGTGGCTGCCTGCTGCCCAAATTGTAACCCTGCCTTTAGAAAAGAGGCCTAGCTTGAAAGCAACAAAGTCCTGACATGCAGGTGATGCTCCCATTCCTCTTGCCTCTTTTCTATAGCTGGGGATTATTTTAGAGAAAAGATGAAATAAAGGAAAGGCTATCACCATCTGTTCCTGGCCATGCTCCGGTAAGTAAAGAAGCCTGAAATCCATGGTACCAGGGTTTACCTTCTACCCAAACATCTTAGTGAGCCCATCTGCCTGTCCACCAATACCCTGCAACCAGGGATGGACACAGCAGGAAGAAGCCTCAAAATACAAGTCCTTTGCAAAGGTTTCTGCTAAGGCTCCAGGCATGGTCCTATCTCACTAACCTGTAGGACCCAAGCCCAGTAAGATCCTGAGAATAATGAATGCCCTAGGATCTGAGCAGTGCGATGTTTCCATGGCTTCCCCAGTAAGGTCATCCAGAACTGAGCTCATTTTTGGTGTTAGAGACAGGCCACTTGTCCCGAGTCTGCATACCTGGGAAGGGCAACTATAAAGGATTAAAACCCAGATTTAAGAACTGGGGTGAAGTCATAGCAGGAGGGAGGACATGACCTGGGACCGCTGTAGAGGATCATTTCCAGAGACAGAAGGGGCAGACGAGGAGTATTTATGGGCAAGGAGGTAGGAAGTGATGGCCTAGGGCAGAAGCACCAGGGAGCTTCCTCTGGCTCAGCACCAAGCTCTTCTAGGGTTTCCCTAATACTGAAAAGCTGCATCCTGAAAGTCTGAATCCCAACCAGGAAGTGGGCACTGTTGGGAAGTGGGCACTGTAGCTTGACAGGCACGAAACTGCTAAAGGTGACAGCAAAGCAGCCAGTCTAAAATCTCACCATAGGCACCATCCCATGTACTCCTCAGGAAAAGTCCCAACACAAAGTTGGATCATCTCAGGAGAGTCCAAAGTTTCCAAACTTGGGTGGCCCTGGGGGAAAGCAGAGACACAGCTCTCAGGATCTAAGGAGAACACAGGTCTGTCTTCTGGACAGCTGCCATGCAGCCTGATCTACATGATTAGAGGAAGAGGGGGCTAGCTGGCTGCAGGGCCAGAGAGAGCATGGGAGAGACATAAAGCCTTCTGAAATGGAGTAGGTGGAAGCCCCAAAAGGCCTTGGCCCACCCCACAAGGTGCCAGCCCATGCCCAGTGGCTGTAAACCTGAAACAGTCTTAGAGCTGCCTATGTCTGTAAACAAAGCCCCACTTGAATGGAGGCAGGTAGGATAGAAAGATGCCTGGAGCCACTGGTCTATTCCTGACATGCATGCCAGTGGGAAAGCCTTCCCTGGTGAAGGGAAGGTGGCAGGCAAGTTCTGCTCTCTCACAGAAGAAACAAACTGAACAGATACTCTACAAGGTCCACAAAGCTTCACATCCTTAAGGCGTCCGTTGTTGGGTTTGGTGGCAGGAATGCAGGGGAATACAGGGTCCAACTGCCCAGAACCCTTCTAGGCAGAATGTAGGGGTATGACAAACTTGCAGCCGAAGGGTGAGTGGTAGTTGATGCCAACCTCCTGGAAGACCTGCTGGGGAATGCCAATGTCACACAAATAGACTCGGCCTGCATGCTCCCCCAGGGGCAGAGGCAGGCCCAGTGCCAGGGACCATTTGGCATCAATGCCCTGTTCAACTTCATGCACAGGAGGGTCTATGCTGAGCACTGGTGCCCGGTTCTGGTTGGCCCAGGCCACAGCTGCCTTGTACCAGGGCTGATCCCGCAGGAAGGCATTCTCAGGGCAATCCAAGCAGTTGATAACCAGGTCCACAGGGCTAGTAGGAAGATCTGCAGATGGAAAGAATGCATCTGAAAATTCCTGGAGCAGACAGCAGACCAAACCAGGCCTCAGGTAGCTCCAGGGACACCTGGTTTTCTAGATAGTACCACTCCAAAGATCAGCCTTCTCAAGGGCATAAAGCCCTCACCTCCTCTGCCTTGCAGCTAGGGCTTTACATCTGACTAACCCCAATGATGCCAGCCTTCTCAGGGATGCTCTCAGGGTCCAGCAGAAAGACCACCTGGCAATAGGTGTTTCTATTCAAAGGCTGGCCTGTACATCGTACTCTCTAGCCAGCTTGCCCTTCCGCAGGAATTCCTCATGCACATGGATCCTCCACTCAGTCCAAACTCAGGAACAGGGAAAAACAATCTCTGTTCTCCCAGAGCTTAAAGGTCTCTAACAGCCAGTGAGATGGTTCAGTGCTGCCAGGCCAGATGACCTGAGTTTAATCCCCAGGACCCACATGGTGGGGGAGAAAACTGACTTCTCTAAGTTATCCTTTAGACCTCCATGAACATGCCATAATGTGCACATCCACACAGACTTAAGTAACATGTAATAGCAATGTATTTTTTCCTTAAAAAAAAAAAAAAAAAGAGAGAGAGCTGGAGTGATGGCTCAGAGGTTAAGCACACCCACTCTTCTTCCAAAGGTCCTGAGTTCAATTCCCAGCAACCACATGGTGGCTCATAACCATCTATAGTAAGATCTGGTGTGCAGGCAGAATGTTGTATAAATAATAAATAAATCTTAAAAAAAAAAAAAAAAAAGAAAGAAAGAAAAGACTTCTCTGCTCTGACTAGACTATAGTCCTCTGTAACAGTAGGGTCAGGAAGTCTCAACATGAATGCACGCTAGGACTAACTTGACAGAAACAGTGACAACAGAAAGTCTTGACATGTATGCAAAGCTAGGATTAACCTGACAGGAACAATAATGAGACTAAACTGCACAGTCATTATTATCCCCAAGCTCCTGGAGCAGCTGCCACAGGAAGATTTTTAGATAGCCATAGGAAGGACTGGCTGGAACATGGCACCGCATGTTCAGACTGCAGTCCATTCCCAGCATTCTTCTTAGAGCTCAGCCTACTTAATGATAGTGCTCAATTAGAGACTCACAGCTTCCCTACTTAAAAACTCATGAGTATAAAGTTCCTGTAGGTCATGAATCAGTCAACAGATTGAGTGGAACCCTTAAAACAAAAAACAAAAAAAAAAAAAAAGTGGAGCCTTTTGTATGTGCACAGAAACCTGTGGTTCTGGTCTAGGCTCCACACTTGCCATGTGGCCTCTGGCAAGGTCTTTCTCTCTTGGACCATCTTTGCTCTCTTATCCTATTTTCACTTAAATCCCACTTACAGTGTAGGAATTTCCTACACCAAAACTGTGCTTCCTAAGTATCCCAGGCCTCCACCTGGCTTTCAGGCTGTTGCACCTCCTCCTCCCTCCCTGACCCACTCCTTGCCTGCAGAAACAAAAGAACTCAGTCCTCTGACTCTCCTTTTCCAGACTAATGACAGCTTCTGTGCCCCTCAACACAGCCTCTGAACGCGAGACTGGATCCTTCCTTTTAGTCTAGAGTCACAGAATTTCCTGCTTGAGCAGCGGTGGTCCCAATTCCTGAACACCCAACAAACATCTAACCTGAGGTGTTCTTTCTCTGACAAGTCCCACTTCAGAGGCAATTTAATCAGGTCAAAAAAATTCACAGCATTCTCTCTCTGTGTCTCTCTCACACACAGAGAGCTCTATTTTTATTTTATGTCTATGTATAAATGTACACTACATGTGTAGATACCACAAGACAGTGTCAGATACCTTGACCTGGAGCTACATATATTTTTGAGCTGCCATGAAGGTACTGGGAATTGAATCCAGGCCCTCAGAAAGTAGAGCAATTGCAATTAACCACTGAGCCATCTCTCCAGCTCCTTGTCTTTTCAGTTTTATTGAGTTGCCCAGGCTGGCCCCTAAAAGCTGAGAACCTCTCTACGTAGGCCTCCTGAGCTGCTCACTGGAGCCACTCCTATTTCTTTTCTTGCTTCTCTCCAGTAATCTGACTCTAACTTCACAAATGACTCAAAAGCTAACCACTTTTCACCACCTCCTCTTAGCATAACTACTGTCTCAGCTATCTGCTACCCCTAATTCTCCTAAGAGCATCTAGAACCCTCTGTATCCCAAAGCTTGTCTAGGAGCTGAGTTGGGTCAGAAACAGGTTTGAGTCTATGAGTTTGAGGTTAGCCTGGTCTACAGAGTGAGGTCCAGGCCAACTGTGGCTATACAGTGAGATTCTGTCACAAAGAAATATCCTAGTAGATAATCTTTCTGCTGGTGCCACCAATGACTCTCCATCCCACCTGGAGTCAAATCTCAAACCACTGTAGTGACCTCCTCCAAGACTCTTTACCATCCAACTCAGAAGCACTCTCCTCTATGCCTTCCAGCATGCTCTGTTCTTCCTGCTGCATTTTACTCCGTATCTGACCTAATGATACTTACTTGTAGGTTCATCTCTCCTAACCACAGTCTGAATCCCATCATGGGAAAACAATTTTATTTCTTTGAGACAGGGTCTCACTATGTAGCCCTGGAACTTGATATGTACACCAGGATGGCCTTGAGCTCACAGAGATCAGCCTGTCTCTGCCTCCAAGTATTGTGATTAAAGCTATGTACCACCACATGTAGCTGGGAAAACGGATTAAAAAAAAAAATCATTGCCATGTTTATTCCCAGAACTGGGACTAGTGCTTGTCCCGTAAATATTTATGAAATGAGATAGTGGATATCTAGTTCTTTTTGAGTGGCCAAAAGGGTAGGGCTTGGGCTTTGTCCTATAGGTAATTTAAAGACCCCTTGGAAACAGAACATTGTGTGTGTATGTGTGCATGTGTACATACATACACATGTACTTCCCCAGAGATTCTTGCTATATAGTCCCAGCTGGCCTCAAACTCAAGAACATTCTGTCCCTATTTCCTACCCATGTGATGCCTTTCTACTTGGCCCCACCAGGTGGCACCATCAGACTGCCATGCTACCAAGGACACAGGAAGCTTTGACCCATACTGAGAGGCACTTTTTTGTGAAGCCAGGTCCTTACATAGAAAATGTTCTACCTTTGGGCTACACCGCAGTGCTGATGCTTACTTACCTCTTAGGCTAGACACTTGCTGACCTTGGGTCTTGCTGAAGAGAGACAGTTCATTGGTGATAGACTCCAGCATCTTGACAAAGTTAGGAAGGAAGAGGATGACTTGTACATCATGGTTGGCTAGGTGCCTCCCACAACTGATACCCTGAGCCCCCTTCACATGGGGCCCGCACAGCAGGGCTACTGTAGGCCTCTGGTGGACATTCTTAGGATTCAACCTAGAACACACAAGTGAAGAAGCAGTTACTGGACAGACTGGGCCAATCCCTTCAGTCCCCATCACAAAGACAGATGCCTGTTGTTCTCAAGGGCACCTTAACTCTCCCCACTGCTGGCCAAGCCCTAGGCCCCAGAGAAACCCAAGCCCTCTACAAGTCTGCCAGGCTTGTAGCATGGCCCTCACTGCCTGTTCTTCCCACTAGTTAACCCACAACAAAGTAACATACAACTCTGTTTGTCAGAACTATGTTCTGACTCAAGAACATCTTCATGTGAACAGTTAGGTCCAAAACTCCATGTGGTGGAACTGCTCCATCTCTGACCCTAACCCCCCAAGGTTATTTGACTCCAGCGATGTCAGGCTCTTCATTCTTTCCTGCAGTGGTAAGGCTCTATCCTGCCCATCCTCAAATGATGTCCTGTGACTAAACAGCCTTTACTTTTTGGCAACATAATATTTTATTGACTATTTCAGAATTGCACATCATGCATCCCAATCACATTGACTTCCCAGTCCTCCAAGGTCTGCCCCCACCATTGTGCACATACAAAAAAAAAAAAAAAAGAATAAAGAAAAAAAAGAGTAAGAAAGAAAAAGGCAATAAGGCAATGGTGGTGCATGCCTTTAATCCCAACACAGGGAGGCAGGGGCAGGAGGATTCTCTGTGTTTGAGCCCAGCCTGTTCTACAGAGTGAGTTTCAGGACAACCAGGGCTACACAGAGAAACCCTGTCTACAAAAAAACAAAAAACAAAACCAAGCAAACAAACAAACAAAAAAACCCCACACCAATAGTCCAATTTATGTGGTTGATATACTCACTGGGGCATGATCAAATTCCTAGTGTCCAGCCCCTTAAAGAAAGCTGAGTCCTTCTGTACCTGCACCCCCACCAGAAACCATCAACTGTGACAGCATCCCTGTCACAGCTTTTAAGAGTTCTCTTAAAGTTCCTGTTCTATTTTGGGGAGTAGGAGTTGGGGTTGTCACTAAAGCTTTCCATGTCCCTCTTTCTCAACTGTGAGTCTACACTCATCAATGCCACTGTAAAAGTAGCTTCCTTGCCCTTTACGGTCAGTGGGAGCACAAACAACAGACATTCACATGGTTTCTGGCAATGGCATGTACTATGGACCTCAGCAGTTTCCAGTGGCGAGAGACCACAGGCATCAACATGGCCCTTTGCAACAGCACAGGCTATGAGCAGCCACGTGTCCCTTGGTGGTAACACAAAGCCTTCTCTCACACCTGTCACTCCTGTCGAGTCTCTAGTTTGGCCTCTCTCCACCACACATGTACCTCTCTGCTCCTCATCTTTCCTACCTCCCCATTTCATATTCATTTGTCATAGTGGCATTGGAAACTGCAGTGTGTCACATAGTATTATTTTCTTACCCAAACAGTTTTACATGCAAATATTCATTGGTCTGGCTCAAGACCTCTTGTCTCTGACACACCATAAATACTAGACTCATCTAGGTTATCCTGCTGCTGCCCAGAGTCAAGGTAATCTTGCAGTGAGGCAGGGCACCTGGAACAGGCTTTGTGGGAGTTCCAGGCTGCTGCACATCCCCCTATCCTCGATGTTAGCTGCCCTGAGGCTCACCAGGTTCTACCTTCAAGTTCATAGCCCTCAGGCAGCACCCAGGCTCTAGAACCCTGACTACCAGTAAGGCAGGCAGTAGCCCCAAGCTGGAGGCTATCTGGCTGACTCAGGACCAGCTCCACTTGGCAACTGGCTCCTCCACACAGCCCAGAAGCCCACAGACAGAGCAGAGGCTGGAGTGGACTCACCCAAAGTGCTGGATCTGAGCCAGGACAGCAGCAGAGCCGGTCAGCCCCAAAGGCCTTGCAAACATCCCACCTTTCAAACTCTGAGCTACTTTTTCTTTGCTTTCTAGATCAAGGCTCTCACCTCTCACTCATGCTAACTTTTCTCCTCTTCTCAACGCCTACTGTCCTTGATTATTTGCCAATCCAGGTTTGCTCCTGAGGTGCCAATAATCTGATGAGGGCAGTGCTGTGGACGACTCCTATTATTTTCTAGGGAGTTGTGTGAATGAATGGAAATAGAAATTCTCAACTGAGATTTTTAGGCATCAGGGCAGGACCTGACTTGAAGAAAAGTCTATTTTCCTGCTAGTCACAGCTGACATGCCTCTGTCTTATGAGAGCCAATGCTAAGGAGGTTTGGATCAGCCCTGGATTGATCCCACAACACAGGCAGCAAGGTAGAGAAGAGGTGAACTGCAAGACTTTGGGGTAGAACAGTGTCAATCACCATCACCTACAGGGAGGGAGATTACTGGTACTGCCAAGACAGAAAAGAATTTCAGGACTTCTCTTCACAAAGATACTTCAGAGAACTTAGCAGCAAACTCTACACAGACACCAAGCGAGTCACTACCCCATTTTCTCTGCCTCTAGACCCGCAGTTCTCAACCTGTAGGCTGTGATCCCTTTGTGTGTGGGGTGTTGAACAACCCTTTCAAAGGGATTGTGTCAGGTATTTACATTATGATTCATAACAAAAACACAATTATGCAGTAACAACGAAGATAATGTTATGGCTGTGTCACCACAACATGAGGAACTGTAGTAAAGGTCACAGCATTAGAAGTGGTGAGCCATGCAGGAGGAACAGCAAAACACCTGTAGAACTCACGGAATGAGGCCCACTGGTTAGCACACGAGACACGCTAGGTGTCTTGGAGAGGCACAACCCCAAGGACTAAGTGTCCTGAGGACTACTTGCTATATGGAGCACAGCTCTGTTGTCCTTGTGGTCACCATATCCTTCCTAATATATGAGCTGTAGGAAAACTCTACCAAGGCTTCCAGTCCCTCACCAGGCAGCATCACTGACAGTCACAATAATGCTTGATCTCTTTCAGGCATTGCTGCTGGAACAGACTAATGATTCACCCACCACCCTTGAAAAAAAATGAAGAGATACAGATTGTTAGCAATGACCACTATCCTTAGAAAGAACTTGGAAATACAGATTGTTTAGCAAGGTTAGGTAAAGATGTTTTTGTTAGTGGCTCTGGTGGAAAATCTTAGAGAACAGTTTGAAGTTCAGGAAAGTACATTCTTAATAGTAAAACCAGAGACTTTTTGAAGTTGGTGAGCAGGAACAACAGCCTAGAGTAGGACTGGCTGTTGTGAGACTCTCAAGCTGGGCAGGTGACTGAGATGACATTCCTTATACTTGATTTTGCCCTCAATTTTCTGTTATGCTTTAATAAAAATTATTAATGAGTAGATGTGCACCTTAAAGATTTAAGGTGGAAATGGTTGGTTATTTTTTATATAAAAGTTTAGATTTGTGATTCTTCTAAGGCTAGGTGGTGGTAGTGCACACTTTTAATCCCAGCACTCAGGAGGCAGAAACAAGTGGATCTTTGTGAGTTTGAGGCCAGCCTGGTCTACAGAGTGAGTTCCAGGAGAGCCAAGGCTACACAGAGAAACCCTGTCTTGAAAAACCAAAAAGAAGAAAAGAAGGAGGAAAAGAAGAGGAGAAGAAAGAGAAGGCGGAGAAAGAGGAGAGGAAGCAGCAGCAGCAAAGTCACAAGAAGCTGGCTAGAAAAGAAGGCACTGGTGAGGCACGCACAGGCTGCCCCCACAGTTTCTAGAAAGCCACTTAATGGCTTCCAAAACTCTTCTCCCCACTGAACTCATTCCAAAACTCATTCTTACTCTCACTGTGAGAGTAGGATATGCAGGAAGCTATTCCTCCTCGGGAGTCTCTTTCCTCTTCCTGCACAGGAACATCAGGGGCCCTGCACAGCAAAGAACTTGCCCACGCAAAACACAAAGAGGAACGAATACTCGTAACTCTACAAAGCAAGAAGTAGTGGCCAGAGTGAAATCTATCAATTCTGGATCAATCTTGTTTTCGTTAAGACTGTTTTAGAACCACTGTCCAGCTCATTGTAGCCAGAGAATTCCTAGATACTTTCTCTGCTTCCTTCACTATGAAACTCATTGTATTTCCCAAAAGACTTCCCCAGACTACTAGAGGACATGAGCAGTGTGGGGTGTCACTGGTATGCTCAGTGTCGAGCAGAAGACCTAGAACACACCCCCTGGTAAGACCATGCTCTGCACTAACAGCGGCCCTTGGGCAGGCAGAAAGCACCTGTCCACTAGGTGCTCAAGACTTGGTTGGGCTGACCTGGAGCTCCTATGGATTCAAATGCTAATTGCTTGCTCCCCAAGTTCCTCACTAGCAAATCCTCACGTGTCTAAAATGATGTGGTGTAAACCTTGCCTCCCAAATTGTCCCTGATTGGCAAATAAAACGCCTACACCTGGCTGGGCAGGAAAGTGGTAGGTGAAGCATAGGTTCTCAGGCTTTTGGGAGAGAGAGGAGGAAGGAGAAAGGAGCAGGTCACCACGGTTAGGATGAAGCAGCAACACGTGGCCAAAAGCAGTTTACTCTGAGGACTGCCCTGACGGAGCAGGAACAGCTCAAGTGGATGGGGTTTGGGGACGGGAAACAAGTTGGCTTAGAGGGCTAATATCTGCCCAGTCATAGGTGTAATAAGGCTTATTAAAAATCTAACAGGTTTCCATGTCCATTTATTTCTAAAATAGTGGGTTAAGGGATAACTGCTACCTTAATAACTATATGAACCAAATATTAATAATTCCACAACAAAGACTAATGTGCTTTCTAGTGAAAGGTTGAGTGTCAAAGGGTAGATCTCTGCAAGGTTCTTTAAAGTCAGGCCTGACAAACAGCAGAGATCTCAAAGAACCAGACACTGCTATCAGCAAAGAAGGAAGAGTAAGGACTTCCAGGAGATGAGTAAGAGAAAGGGCAAAGAACCTTGGCAGCATAAAGGGCTCAGATGGGACGGGGACTGCCTGGCAGCAGCTCCTATGTGCATGTGGAATGTGTGGGCTGACCAGATAGGCACTGCCACACCACATGCAGCACTGCCAGTCTAGAGCCACTCACCTGTTGGGTCCTCCAAGAAGAGTCAGTGCCATCTGACTGGCACACACACCAGTCATCTCAAGCCTCCGCTCTAAGGTCAGACCGTGCTTCTCAGCCACAGATAAAAGCTTTTTATGTAGCTCATAGGAAATACTTGGGACCACCAGGCCAGAGTCTGTGGTAAAACAGAGGCAAGGAGCAAGGAAAACGTATTATAAGAAATCAAGTTTTTAAAAAAAAAAAAAAAAAAAAGAGCATTTTATGCAGATTCTGCACATGCCAGCCTTTTTTTTTTTTTTTTTTTTTGAGACAGCATCCAAGGCTTAAGCTTATGTAGTCAAGAATGACCCTGATCTCCAAATCCTCCTGTCTCTACCTCCTAATTTCTGGAATTACAAGCAAGCACAGCCATTTTCAGTTTATTCAGTAATGAGAATTGAGCTGAGAACTTGCATGTTAGGCAAAAACTACCAAATAAACTTTATTCTACACCAAACTTTTTAAGATCACCAGTCATGTTGGAGTACAACTTCAATCTCAGCATTCTGAAGGCAGAGGCAGTCCGATTTCAAGTTAGAGGTAAGCCTGGTCTACACAGTGAGTTCTAGGACAGCCAGAGTTGTGTAGAGACTCTGTCTCAACAAGACCAAGCCACCTTCAAGGCTAAGGCATGCTTGAGGAGTAAATGACAACCTATATAACATATTCTAGATCAGTAGTTCCTCAACATGTGGGTCATAGCCAGGGTGGGGAGTCTCAAATGACCCTTTCACAGGGGTCAACTAAGACCATCCGAAAACACAGAAATTTATGCTATGATTCATAACAATTGCAAAATTACAGTTATAAACTAGGAATGAAATGATAAGGCAGGGGGTCAGCACAACATGAAGAAACATATGAAACGGTGGTAGCCATGGGGAGGTTGAGAACCCTGCTCTAGATCAAATCAACAAAAAACAGGGAGAAACTTGCCTTCCATCCTTAGCAATTCAGCTTAGGCCACTATGCACAGATGTCACAGCATCCCGTCACAATAAAACTACACACTTTCCCAAAGTTTTCCTCATAAACAGGCTGCTCCTTTTCCCCAAGAATTGGAAAAGATACTAACTAGCCTTCTGGCCCCTCTAAACACTGTTATTTTCATCAATTTCTTGGCAGGAATTTCCACCCATTTGCTCTCTGCTTCCTCTTATTTCTCTCTTTCACTTAGTTTAAGAAATTTAGCCAGCAACTTGTTTTCTCCAATAATTTGTCATTTTCTCCCTATTTGCATATTACCCGACGTTCTGGCCATCAGACAGGAATACAGCGAAACAACTGTCAAGCTACTTTAAAAAACATTTTTCACTCGCCAGAAGCAAAATTCTAAGAATTCTGTCCAGCACCTAGTATACTTGGGAAAAGTTTATGTGGTGTACCCCACGTATAGCAGTATCTGCAGACCAGAAACATTTCAGAGATCAGACCAAAGTAAAAACTTGTGATCTGAAGCCCTTGCCTTAGTATAGAAGGTCTCCTTCTCCCCAAGATAACACGCTATCTTACAAATGCAATGCTGGACTGGCCCTAGAGGAGCAGACCCACTGACAAAGAAGACCTTTTAGTTTCCTGTCTGAGGAAGCAAATACAGACAGCTCAGAGGCTAGGCGTGCTGGCTGCTCTTTCAAAAGATCCAGATTGGATTCCCAGCACCCATATGGCAGCTCACATCTGTACCTCCAGTTCCAGGGAACCTGACTTGTCTGGCTTCTGTGGGTACTGCACATACTTAGTACAGACATACATGCAGCCAATTAATATTAATACACATCTAAAAACCACAAACAACAACAAAACAAAATCAGAGGAGGGCACACTATCTGCATTTAGCATTTTGGACCCCATATCCTCAACTCCTTCGAGTAGGGAGGTGGCCCTTTCACGCCAGTAGCCATGGTTTCCTTGCATCTCTGTCTTAAATATAGGCAAGAGCTCAGCAGATGGTCAAATATATAGACACAAACCTCACGACAGTTATGATCTAGCCTAAAAACACTAGTTTTCTTTTGGTTTTTTGAGACAGAGTTTCCTCTGTGCAGCCCTGGCTACCCTGGGCTCGAATATACATCGAGCCCCCTGTTTCCGCCTCTGGGATTAAAGGCGTGTGCCACCATACCCAGCTGAAACATTAGTTTTCTTGTGGTTTTATCATCATTCCACTGCTCCATCATCCTGTTTAGAAAAGCCTGACTGCCCCACTGTTCATTTCTAGAGAAATTTCTTTTACTTCTATCACGAATCCAGTTCTGGCTGTGCAGATTATCCAAATCAGACACAAGAAGGCTATTGCTATGGACTTTATCAAAAGGAACCAAGCAGAAAGTTCAATTCTATAGCATTCAGGCCTCTGTTTTCTCAAGTAAGGCAGTATAATACAGTTTAATGCAAGGAAGACATAATGAAAAATGCCTAACATTCATCAAAATAAATGTCAGCTGAGTGCCTCTGCCTACCTGGCTCCCATCTGTTATGGGCAAAGGCCACAAACAGTACCAATGAAAGTCTCCTCCCTCTTTCCCTGTCTCCCTTCCTTTCCACCCCTTTCTAAAATGTAAGTCACTGGTGGCACAGGTGCCAAGGCTGAAGGTGCAGCCTGGCCTTACATGTCAAGAGTGATTAAAGCAGTTATTTTACTTTGATGGCCTGTTTTAGACAGGCACACATTATCAGAACTAATTATGAAGCCCTGATAGCAGTGAAAAAGCTGAATTTTCAAGATTCCTCAGATGTCCTGTCCGACTAGTCACACACCTATCTACCTCAAAACAAAACAACACAAAAAACTTCTTTACCTGCAAAATCATGGAAAGGAGAGCTTCACTCAGTCTGCACGCCTTTGCCTACTTATCTAAACTAGTACCATAGGGTTTTAAATGGGATGGCCTACTACACTATAAATCAAGCTTTCCAAGCCTAGCTCTTGTGCTGTATACAGACAGAAAGCTCTCTGGGAACAAGCAGATTCATTTTCAGATGGCTGTCCTCTCACAGCCCTGAAAAAATATGAATTAAACTGGGTATTAGGGGACACAAACACTCTCCATCCTGCCTAGGAGCTACGACAGCTGGAAACTGAGTCTCCTGCTATCTCCCTGGTCTATGCTGAGGGAAAGGGGCACTGCTAATGGACTGGCATAGTTCTATAACCTAGAGCAAGACAGGCTAGAATCCTCTCTGCCTGCAGTCATATGCTGGGGGCCTTACTGGAGCTGCTTTTTGCTTCTCTAAAAGGAACACACAAGAATCACAAAATGTTCCTTTTAAACATTTTAAAGAAAGTTCAAGAAGACGGACTGGCTTATCAAAAACAGGCAGGAGGAGTAAAATAAGCCCCAAAGGAAAGGAAGCAAGAGCATAGCGTGTACACTGCAAACAATAACACTGGCAGTCTGAACATGGGCCAAACCTAATTATGTTTGGGTTGGACGGTGGACCTAGCCAAATTAGTTGCTGGGTTTCCCTGAATATCAGAGAATATGTATTTTACAGCTGTACTGAAGAAAGAAAGGGAGAGATAACTGTATCCAGTTCGTGACAAGCAGAGCACTGGGCTCCCATTACCTTAGGTATCAAGGAAAGCAATTCAAGCACACACCGCATGGGCCAGGAAAGGAGGCTCCTCCCTGCATTGCTCATTTCCACAGCATGGGGCTAGGCTGTCTCTTAGGTCATAGGGACCCAGTGGTCTAATACTGCCTATGTCTGCCATGTCTCATACTATCAGTATGTATTCTCCATTCCAGTCTACACCACTTCAGGCCTTTCTCTCCTTATACACATATATGTTTTGACATTTTCCATGCCCCAATCTGGTAAGACCACATCCAAGCTTCCCCTCTTATCCACCCAGGTCTAGCCTTTCTCCTGCCCAACTCTTAAAACAAAGTGTCTCTCAATGTAATGTAATTGTCAAATAAATGTGGCCCTTTGGTAGGAAAGGTTCTATGTCCTGTATCTCTTGAACAGGGAACACAACTCACCTGATGGGTATGGGATTCCTTTGTTAACTGAGTCTATTCTATTGCAGTCTGGGAGTGGTAGCATGTTTTTTATGATTCAAAATCACCTGCAAATTATACCTTCCGACTAGCAATGTGTAGGCAGCCCCTACATATATATCTATATATATTAAAGCTGCCAGAAGGTGTGACATAGCAGCAAAAGGGACTGTTAAGAGAAGCCTAAAGATATACTACAACAAACTTTACCCTGGCACAAAGCCTTCTATTCTGACTGCATCTCTCAGCCTTTACCTCACACACCACCTCTATCAGGCCCCAGATTCCATGGCTGCTTCAGATCTTTACTCCAACAGTTCCTAAATACTGTAAACTCTTGGCTTCCCTCTCCTGGTATTAGCTTCTTCTCAATTTTTACTGTAAAACATTTTATTCATTTACTTATTGTGCACATGTGCCGTGGTACACATGTAGAAGTCTGAAGAAAACTTGTGGGAATTAGTTCTTCTTACCATTATGTAGGCTCTGGGGCTCAAACTCAGGCAGTAAGACATCAGGCCAGTAAATTTTTGTTTTCCAAGATAGGGTTTCTCTGTGTAGCCCTGGTTGTCCTGTAGCTCACCCTGTACACCACACTGGCATCAAACTAACAGAGATCTGCCTCTGCCTCCCAAGTGCTGGCATTAAAGGCATGTGCCACCACTGTCCAGCTCAGATTTATTATTTTAACTAATAAATCGAACATAAAAGTTGAACACCTTAAGGTGTTACCATGTAATGTTCAACAAATATGGAGGGCATGTAATGTTTAAATCAGGTCAAACCCCGTGTTGGACCCTGAGTGCTACAACACCAACCTGCCAGGCAAGATGTGCAAGTATCTCTGAGGTTTTGGCTCCCTAAGCCAGATTAGCTAACAGAGTTAAAACAGACTAATACTGCTCAATTGTTGTGCCATAAAGCTTGCTAACCAAATATAATAGTCCAGTCTCAATTATTTGGGTGCTAGCCAGGTTAAGAGTAAAATTTCAATACAATTTTAATTTAATCATTAACATTCATAAAATTAACTATTTTATGAACTAGATGGAGGCAGAAAAAAAGCAAGAACAGAAAGGCCAAACAGAACTGCTTTCAAGAACTGTCTGGGAGACCTCCGAGGTAAAAAGGT